TACTGCCCCACATTAGAAGACAACAGGCTCTCATTTGGCTAGGGTCAAGGATGCTGATGAACAGGCATTGTTCACCAGAACAATGCACAGGTCCATCACGAGATTGAATTCCCATAGGCCAGCATGGAAGACAGCTATTCACTTAATATCTATCCATCTTAACCCCGGAATGCCGGGAGAGAGGAATGGGCCAAGGTACCTTCTTATGGCTTACCCATCAATGATCCCTCTATCAAGCCATTTGGCTTTGACCTGCCTCACACAGTCTGCACAAAATTGAACAAAATTAGGTGATGCTGGAAGAAGTGCCTCTGCCCTTTATCAGTGGGAATGGGAAAAGTCCCCTTGTTGGTATTGTAGTGCTAATATGCAAACTATTAACCATATTGTACAAGATTGCCCACAACGTGCGTTTTCTGGTTCCCTAAAAGATTGGCAAGAAGCAACACTAGAAGCGATCACTTGCATAGCTGAATTGGACATCTAATTGTGAGGCCACTGGCATAGCCTCATAGAAGTTTTGTATATAATTACATGGATTGTGTGTATATGTTTACTTCCCTTCCGTCATGTTCTCATCATACACTAATAATTATATAGGCAGCCACTTTCATCTACGTGGGCCTGAGCAATAACTTGAATGTGAAGAGAATGCCTGGGTCTGGAATTTTGTTGTGAATAATAAAAAATTCTGATTTTTTTGAATATATAAATAATCTAAAATGATCTAGACCAGGGAGCACACTAGATAATGGCATGGGACACGACTATCACTTGCATTTGCACTCTATGCGTTGTTGAGGACCAAAGACTGATTGATTGGTTGACTGGCTGATTAAGGGATTACACAGTTGTAAAAAGGAGTTTTTTTGTAAAGCTCTAGATCAGTCAACTAGCCAGATATCTTAAAAATAGAAATAAAATTAGCAAATTAGACACATTAAACTTCAAGCACTCACTGTTAGCATGTAGGGGAATTAATAAGTGGCATAGATTTAAGATTCAAGGAGCTGATCATATGGTTAACAAAATATGCAGCATCTGAGCAATGCACATTGATAATCTACAGTCTTTCATTCTTATAATTAAAATAACTGAAAAATGGGCACTTGTTTTAAATACATTATATTTTGCTGCTTTTGCCCAACTGAAAACAGATCAATTGTAATTCTGTATGGCCTGCATGCTCAAATAAATACATGTTTATTGGAAATGTGCAGCTATTTTATAAAACTAATTTTATAAAAATGGCATTAAAAGTTATGGTTAGTATTTAAAATGATTTAACAAATAAACATTTAGGAATAATTAGTCTGAATGAATTCTCTGAAATACTATTTTTTATTTGCTTTTTCAGAATTGTCCTTAAAACAACCCTACTGTATTTGATTTAAAAAATTAGAACTATCTAATAGTTTTAATACAACTGTTTCCTGGATAACTATTTTTATGTTACAAATATGACTCATTCACAAATGTATTTACTTTCATGCTGAGTCATTTTTGTCAACATTTATTTAGAAGGCGGAAAATTAGCAGTTTTATTCACTAAAACCATGCATGGAACTTAATTTCAACCATGAAGTAGTCCAACCTTAGGCCATGAGCAACTGATCTACAGCCATAGCAGTAGTAGTAGTAGTAGTAGTAGTAGTAGTAGTAGTAGTAGTGGTAGTAGTAGTATGTTCTAAATATACCCTGTATTTTATTCTGCTGTTTAAATCCCAATCCCATAAACAGTCCATTAATCTTTTGGATTTACAGTCTAATAACTGTAATACAAAAGGAAAAGGACTGAGAGGGAAGAAGAAATAAGTGAATACGGACAACACATACAAAAAACTTTCCAAAGTGCAAACAAAAGGATTAAAAATGGTCAAAATTGCTTTACAATGAGTCATCATAAAACCTGGAATCAGAGTCAGGGAAATCCATACTCTTCAGTTGAAAAGTCAATTGTGGTCATGATGTGATCCACGTTCCATCCATTATGTGTAATGCATATAATTGTGACCATCTTGACTTTTTAAAATCATATATCATTGGGACATCCCTCAGTATTGTTCTTTTTTTAGTCTGTTGATTCACAGTGTAAATATTTCAGTAGTGGCAATACTTTAAATTGTGGCAGAGCTAATAAGAATTTGGAAAGGATTGACAGACACCACAATAATGTAATTCCCAATTGTAACTTCAAAAAAGGCAACTATGATCTTATACACAACGATCTCTCATCCCTTGATTGGCAATCTCTATTCACTGGATGCAATACTGTTGAAGACCATTACAACATATTTTTACTTGAAGTCAAAAGAGTCATCAAACTATATGTACCAACAACAACTCCCAAAACAAAACAAAAAAGCAGATTACCCATATCAATAAGGAAACTTCAATCCAAAAAGAGATCACTCTGGCGGAAAAACAAATCTGGTCACGTTGCCAATTTCAAAAACCGATACAAAAATTTATGCCACCAGATAAAGACCGAATGCACCAATTATCACATTAAACAAGAGGAAAACCTTCTAAGCACCAATTCCACCCGTGCTTTTTACAATTTTGTAAACAACAAACTAAAAGACTCAAGGTCCATCCCTCCCTTGATAGGACCTGATGGTAAAGACTGCAACGACAACACCATTAAAGCCAACATCTTTAACACATTCTTCGGCTCAGTATTTGTAAACAGCAATGGATCATGCCCAGTATTTCCTAGCCGTACCACAGATAACAACAATGATCTAATACATATCGATTTCACAGAAGACAATGTTGAAAAAGCACTACGCAACCTAAAACCATCTCTATCTATTGGACCGGATGGAATATGTGCCTACTTCTTAAGAAAGCTATCCACTGCCATAGCCAAACCTCTAAGCATAATCTTTGAAAAATCTTTCAGAACCAGCTCCTTGCCTAACCTATGGTCACAAGCCACAGTCATCCCCATCTTCAAAAAGGGAGACCCAAGCCTAGTTGAAAATTACAGGCCAATCTCCTTATGCTGCGTCACCTGTAAAGTCATGGAATCAATTATTAACCAATCCATCATCCTTCACTTAGAGACAAATAACCTACTCTCCAATAAACAATTTGGTTTCAGAAAAAAACTATCCTGTAATCTGCAACTCTTACACTGCAAAAACATATGGACGACACAACTCGACCAGGGCAAAGCAATAGACGCAATCTACATAGACTTCTGTAAAGCCTTTGATTCAGTGGTACACGACAAACTACTCCTAAAAATAAAATCCTATGGTATCTCTGGACAACTGAATAATTGGATAGAAGCATTCCTGTCAAACAGACAACAAATGGTCAAAATCGGGAGCGTACTATCAAATCCAGTACCTGTCAATAGTGGTGTTCCCCAAGGCAGTGTTCTAGGACCAACTCTCTTCATACTCTACATAAACGACCTCTGTGATCATATTAAGAGCAATTGCGTTCTCTTCGCTGATGATGTAAAGCTGTTCAATACCACAGACAATACTGCTACCCTACAAAAAGATCTTGACTATGTATCAGAGTGGTCAAACAAATGGCAACTTCAAATCTCAACAAATAAATGCTCTGTCTTACATATTGGCAAAAAAAATCAGAAAATAAAATACAAGCTGAATAGTCAAGATCTTGTTGATGACTCAAGCTCTGTAAAGGACCTTGGAATACTCACCTCTAATGATCTAAGTGCTAGAGCCCACTGCAACTACATAGCCAAAAAGGCATTAAGAGTTGTTAACCTAATCCTACGTAGCTTTTTCTCTGGTAATATCACACTACTAACCAGAGCATACAAAACATTTGCTAGACCAATACTCGAATACAGTTCATCAGTCTGGAACCCACACTACGTATCTGATATTAGCACAATTGAGAAAGTCCAGAAATATTTCACAAGAAGAGTTCTCCATTCCTCTACTCGTTGTAGAATACCTTATGCCACCAGACTTGAAATTCTAGAACTTGAAAACCTTGAATTACGCCGTCTTCGGTCTGACTTAAGCATGGTATATAAAATCATACATTGCAATGTCCTACCTGTCAATGAATACTTCAGCTTCAACCATAACAACACAAGAGCACACAATAGATACAAACTCAAAGTAAACCGCACCAAACTTGATTGCAGGAAATACGACTTCAGCAATAGAGTGGTCAATGTCTGGAATACTCTACCCGACTCTGTAGTTTCTTCCCCAAACCCCAAAAACTTTAACCTTAGACTGTCTACTATTGACCTCACCCCTTTCCTAAGAGGTCTGTAGGGGGCGTGCATAAGCGCACCAACGTGCCTACCGTCCCTGTCCTATTGTTTCTCCTATTCTTTTATTTTTCTTATATGTACCCATTTCATGTATTCACAACTATGTATACATTTATACTTATTATCTTGTAAACAATTGGCAAATCAAATAAAATAAAATAAATAAATAAATAGACTGGAAATGCTCTCAGCATCATTTTCAACATCTGCTTACTAAGAAGTTTGGTATTGTGTGGATTTTTTGCAATTCATTGTTAATTAGTTGATGCTGATCAAGCAGAATAATACTAACTACATTTTAGGTAAATGTACAGGAAGAATGCGGGTTTAGGGAAATGTTGGCCATGTAAACTAAATAAATATCTTAATTCCATTAACTGGACAGTTTCTACTGTTTTTTGTGAGTCAAAATGTCATGAAGTTGTAAATTTAGGCCAGCCTCTCATTAGGATTCAGGTCTGAACAATGAGCGATAGCAGGGGTATAAAATAAAATTCAAAATCCAAGATTGGGATCTATTTATTGGGATCCACTGAGGCGCCACAGAAGTATGCAAGTTTTCGAGTTTTTGAGGAATTGTCATCAAGTTTAATATGAAAAGCAGGCTAATCCAGAAAGTATTTCCCTCTCAAATCCCTATCTCGCTCGCTGTTGCTCTCTATCACACCTGGTTGTGTCTGGCAGGTGCTTGAAGGGAGTTGTTCCTAGAAAGTGACACCCGCCCTGGTCTGGGTAGCTTCCTCAGGCGGCCGCTCTCCAGAACGCTGCTTTGGCAGGAACCGCAATGGAGGAAATCCGGAGCCGCACCATGAAAGGCCTCGCTGATCTGAGGGGTTTTATCAACCTGACTCCGAAGGAAAGCGACAGCTCGAAGGCGGCAGCCGCAGCAGAAGCAGCCAACGCGGAGACTTGTGAGTGTCGGAGAGAGGGAGGCGGAGGGCGGGTCTCTCCAAGCCTTGGTTTGGGCAAGACCGCCGGTTTGTGGGGCTCTTCCGGCACGCAGCTCTCTTCTTCGAAGCGTGGAGTGCAGCCCAGTCGCCCCTTGGGGATCGTGAGGCGTTGGCCTACTTCAGTTGGATGTTTTTTTGTCTGGCCCTTTTTCTGCAAAGGTTCCAGTGATCCCGAAGAGTTCAAAAGAAGGCAAAAGAGCACAGCCGCCCCGGAGGAAATAATCCTCCAGGCAGGGAGACGGATCGACTAGAGCAGCGGTTCGTTTCCTATACGAAATTTCCAATTGAAATCCTCAGACATTTGAAATCCAGTCTAGACCAGATTTGAATTTGAAATTCTCAGGGCTTTCTGAAAAATTTGAATAATCTTTCTTTGAATTACTAAGTGTTCAAATAATCCTTTGAAAACGTTTGAAAGAAGGGTAAGCTTCCAATTTCCTGGAGAGGGATAATTGATATATTTTATTTTTATTTGATTTGATTTGTCAATTGCTTACAAGATAATAGGTATAAGTATAAACATAGTTATGAATACATGGATACATATAAGAAAAATAAAAATAAAAGAAAAGAAACAACAGGACAGAGATGTAGGCACGTTGGTGCACTTATGCACGCCCCCTACAGACCTCTTAGGAAAGGGGTGAGGTCAATAGTAGACAGTCTAAGGTTAAAGTTTTTGGGGTCTGGGGAAGAAATCACAGAGACGGGTAGAGTATTCCAGACATTGTCCACTCTGTTGCTGAAGTTCTATTTCCTGCAATCAAGTTTGGTGCGGTTAACCATGAGTTTGTATCTATTGTGTGTTCTTGTATTGTTATATTGTTATGTTATATTGTTATATATAGTTCATTCTAATTTCAATCATGTCGCATGTGGAGTCTTGAGACGAGATAGTTGCCCCAGGTTAAGCAAATTTCATATTATGTGGCAAGCATTTTAAAAAATTCATTTGAATTCAGAGGAAACTTAAAAATACAGGTTTTTTAAAAATTGGAGAGCCAGTTTGATGTAATGGTTTAAGAGATCAGGTTAGAAAAAGGGAGACTGAGTTCTAGTCTTTCCTTAGGTGCAAAGTTAGTCAGTGACCTTGGGCCAGTCATTAGCCATAGAAAGGAGGTAATGGCAAACTACTTATGAACTCTAGTGAAGAAAACTGCAAGGACTAGTCCAGACAATTGCCCAAAGTCAACTCTTGACTTAAATAACAAAAATCGTCCACACCTTCAACACCCAGACATACTCAAACAAAGAAAAAAATAATAATCTGGCCAAAGTATTAGATTTCATAATAGAAAATGGAAACAGCTATTTCATAAGGCTTGTGAACATCACGTGGCATCATTTTGACTGGTAGTAATATTTGCTGTATTGCAGCTTTTTTCATGATAGCCACAGCAAAGGAGGTGGGCTTGCTCATTCACAAAATTATTTTTATAAATATCAAAACAAGTAAGCTATCTCCTCTGCTAGTTCCTGTCCTTTATCGGAATTTCTTAATTAACTCATTAAACTATCCCCATGTTGCTCTTCTACCAACAATTCAAAGTGACATACATACAGAAAAAAATATTTTTCTTCTTGATCGGTTTAAGGCAATATATATACATGATATATAACTTTGGGCCAGTTACTCTTCCTCAGCCCAGCCCACCTCATAGGGTGGTTGTTATGGATAACAGGAGCCAGGAGTATGTCTCAGCCAGCCTTCATGTCTAAGAGAGACTTAAAACTCACTAGTGCGGTATGTTAACCCCTACATCAATCTGTGAGCTTTCTATAAGAACAAACTGTGCTTTACAAGGGGAATGTGGAGGGCATAGAGAACAGCTTTGAAGTAGGGTAGGAGGAGCTGGTACCAAAGCAACAGACAGATAAGAGAGGTGTAAGCCCTGTCCAAGAATACAAGATAAGTAAATATTACAGATAATAGAGTTGGAAGGGACCTTGTAGGTCATCTAGTCCAAAATACCCCAGATAAATACCATTCTTCTTCCCACAAAGATAAAGTAAGGGAGGGAAAGCACATTCATACTTGCAAGAGTCTGTTGCTATAGCTGTTATAATAAAAGTAGTAGTGATCTATATGGCTTTGGTTTCTTAGTTTACCTTGTAGAGCTGATATCAAGCCACCCTTGAAAATATCTTGCTTCAGGGGTCCCATAGAAGATGATCTTATGGAGATGGGCCTTTCGGTAGATGGGTTATTCTCACAGATCTTACCAAAAGCACACATTTGTTTCAGAGTAAGTAATCCAGGAGGTAATCAGCTGCTGGGTTTTGTAGAGTTTTAAACATGTTAAATTAATTTTTAAATACTTGATTGTAATTATATTTAGGGATATGTGGTCCTATGGAAAACTAAGGAAACAATAATAAAAAACTATGCCCACCTTGCTTAATAGAAGTGTGATATACTAGATTTAGATTCTGTACTAGAATCAGAAGGGTAAAAGTTCAAATCTAACATAGCTGTAATAATCACCAGATGTTTGTGGCTACTATAACCCAGACTGCCTCACGGGAGTATTCTAACATAAGATTATCAAGGGAAAAGTAAAGTAATTTGAATTTAGACATTTAAGATCATTATCAGAAGTTCCTCAGTTTCACAGAAGTTGTGGTCTTTGTTTTGCAGTGCTTCCAGATGAGAAAGAATTTCAACATGCTGCTAAAACTAATAATCTGGACGCTATGGAAAGGTTATTTAAGAAAAAAATTAATATTAATGCTGCAAATGTTGTAAGTATACAAGCACTCTCTGTACTTAATTTATCTAACAAGTAGATTCATGTTTCTTCGTTATTTCATCTAATTTAGGAAAAAAATAGTATTTATTCTTTAGTCTTTGGGACTTTTATTTGGCTTTCTCCCTGCACTAGATGTGTGCAGTTTTGAGAATGGAGGCGAGTAGAAGCAAGCACAGTCTTGCTATACCGGTCAGTTGGTCCATGGATAGCCTGAACCTTTTGGCCACGCAGTCAAAATTGGGCCCAACATTGAAAAGAGACACTGTGTTGACAATATGAGACTGGGAGACCAAACTTAGGGAATATGCAGCAATGGCAAAATGAATAGTACATATCCAGAACAGAACTTTGAGTAAATTTAAGCAATAATGGCTCCTCTCAGGGGTGGGATTCTACCAGTTCACACCTATTCACTAGAACCGGTTGTTAACATTCTAAGCAGTTTGGAGAACCAGTTGTTAGAAGAAATTACTGGCCTAATCCTGTAAGGAAGGCAGGAAGGAAACATTCTGGTGTTGCTTACAGAAACTGCCTCTTCATTAACCCCTTATTACATTCTTGGCAGGACTAGACTTTCTGTCTCAGGAACTTCTCTGGAGTTTTTCCCCACTCTGCTGGTACTTTGCTTATGTGGAGTGACCATTCAAAGTTACAATGGCACTGAAAAAAGTGACTTATGACCATTTTTCACACTTACAACTGTTGCAGCATCCCCAGTCTTGAGAGGCCAGGAGAGGAGATGCGTGCCTCGATGTGAATGATATTGAGTTGGCTGTGCCCAGCCAATAACATGCCCACCAACTTAGCCACACCCACAGAAGATTGTTAAAAAATTTGAATCCCACCCCTGGCTCCTCTGTATATTATATATTACATAAAAACATATTTATTTATTTATTTTATATTGCCACCTATTCGCCCATCATGACTCAAGACAGCTTACACAATGTGCTACATATACTCAGTCATTTAAGTATAGTAGTATGGTATATATGCTACATATACTCAGTCATTTAAGAATCTGTCTTTTAAAGGAAAAGTAATTGATGTAAAGGTAATTAGGAGCAGTTTGAATGTTTATAAAAATTAAATGAAACCAGAAATATTTTTATTGGACATTCTACCAGAAAAAATATTATAAAGAGATTATATACGTGATTTTACGTCTACTAACTGCATCTAGAATTGAATATGCTCAACAATGGAAGTGTGATGAGATCCCGACAGGTGAGAAGGTAATTCAGAAAATATTAGAATGTGCAGAAATGGATAGACTAACACTTACTATCAAAGATAAAGAAGAAACTTAATACTTTTTGACATGGGACTTATTTTATTGATGTCTAGACAATGAAAACAAAAGTTAGAAAGAAAGGGACATAAAAAGGATAAATGTTAAAATGGAAATTTGTTAAAATGGACAAACAAAATATTGTCATTACAGTATTAATGTTATTGTGATACATGTTATTGTAAACACTCTGATTATGATTGCCTAAAATAATTGTACCCAGACAATTATTGTTCGATTGAAATGGAATTTTTATATATTATACAAATAAAACAAATAAATTTTTTTAAAAAGTTAAATGCAATCAATCACTGTTAGATATAATTGTAAGGTATATAGAACTTAATATTGTGTTTATTCTTCTTTGTTTTATTAATTTGTTTTATTTATTTTATCTTTTTCTCCTCCTTTTCTTTTCCTTTATATAGTTTGCTTCTGGAACAATAACAAATAATGGCAATATCACCATTAATATTAATCTTTAAAGTTTTATAGAAACTTTTCTTAAAATGATATAACGAACCACCTTTTATACATTTAATTAATTAATAAAACAATGAATTTGGAATGTTGTATAATGGTAAATTATTTGCTTACTAAAATTTTACTATGTCTTTTTCCATCTTTATCTACATTATTAATTTTAAAATAAAACAGAAGCTACACCTTTCCTTGGGCTTATACTGTAGGCGTGGAAGTTTACAAAATGTGGTGTTTTGGGGAAAGCGTTAGGATGATGACCCGTTTAATGATGACCCATTAAACAGGCTTGCTTATTAGCCATAGTTCAATTGGCTCAATTTAAATGCTTCCTATGTCTAATTTTGTGTCTGATTTTCTGTGTTCATTCCCCATGATTTATTTCATGTTTTAGTTGAAGCGCACAGCCCTCCATTTTGCTGTTGCAGGAAATCATATATCTGCAGTTGACTTTCTTCTCCATCACAAAGCTAGAGTTGATATTGCAGATAAGGTATATGCAACTGATTTCTTATTGCTATGTTTATAATAGCTGAAATAGACTGAGAGGCTCTTTTATGGAAAAGAAGGAATCCGCTAGTATTGTTTTAGACTAACATATTTTCTTGCAAGGAATTTTAATAATATGTGTGAGTCTAGCAGTTCCCAACCTTTTGGGTGCCAGGGACCAGTTCTGTGGAGAGAGGTTTTTCCGTGTGCTGGGGACTTCATTTGTTTGTGTGGCCCAGTTTCTGGCATGCTGTGGATCAGTGGCACGCCACAGACTGGGAGCAGAGGACCTCTGTGTTAGTTTAAAAAGAGGCTACCAGATTCATTCTGATCTTTAGTTAGCACAGACATCTCTCCTCCTATAATGCATTTATTGAAAACATTACTTTTAATATATCTGATTAATCATGCCCAGGCTATTAGAAAAATTGAATTAATTTGTCATTTAGGGTTTTCCTTCTAAATAGATAAGAAATAAAATGATAGAGCCATTCTAAAGGTGGCTAAAGGCAAAACTGAAGTGCTGTAAGATTCATTGGAAACACTGAAGATTTAGACAAGGGGATAGAAGAGAACACATCAAATTTGCACACAACACCAAGCTGGCAGGAATAGCCAATACTCAAGATACAGAAGGTTCTTGACAGATTTGAACACTAGGCCCTATCTAACAAATAAAATTCAATGGTGAGAAATGTAAAGTTCTATATTTCAGCAAGAAAAACCAAATGCATAGATATAGAATAGGTGGCACCTGGCTCAATAGTACAGTAGTTTAATATGAAAAGTTTAATATGAAAAGAGGGATCTTGCAGTCCTAGTGAACAATCACTTAAATATGATCCAGCAGCGTGTTGCAGCTGCCAAAAAAGCCAATGCAGTTCTAAGCTGCATTAACAGAGGTATAAGAATCAATATCACACAAAGTGTTAATACCACTTTATAAAGCCTTGATAAGACTACATATGGAATACTGCATCCAGTGTTGGTTGTCATAGTGTAAAAAAAAGATGTTGAGACTCTAGAAAGAGTGCAGAGAAGAGAAACAAAGATGATTAGGGGACTGGAGGCTAAGATGGTTGCAGGAATTGGGTATGTCTAGCTCAGAGGTCTCCAAACTTGGCAACTTTAAGATTTGTGGACTTCAACTCCCAGAATTCTCCAGCCAGCATAGCTTGATGAAAAGAAGGATTAGGGATGATATGATAGCAGTGTTCTAGTATCAAAGGGGCTGCCACAAAGATGAATGGGTCAAATTGTTTTCCAATAAAGCAGTTTTAAAAGACTAGTTTTCAATTTCATTGTCTCTTCGAAGTTTATATTTACTTATTTTACTTACTTTTAAAGCATGGCCTTACTGCCATTCATCTTGCTGCATGGTCTGGTAATTTGGAAATAATGCTGATGTTAATTAAAGCAGGAGCTGATCAAAAAGCAAAGAACCAGGTATGTTATTCCAAGATATAAGCCAGCAATGTATACAACAGAAGGATTTTTAATTCTGTTTTCAGTAACTGTTCTTTCTTTTTCTTAGGAAGGCATGAATGTTCTACATTTTGCTGCTAAGAACAATGGTGTTAGAATAGTGAATTATTTTATCCGAGATCTTCACCTGATGGAACTCAATAAACCTGATGAGGTATTATGAGTGCAAAGAATACTACAAGCAATTAGACAATGGATATTAGTAATGTTTCTGTGAATACTTTTATTTAAAATACTGCACATGCTTATAAATATGGCTTCCATTTTTTAATCTATATTTCATGAATATTGATAGAACAGGCCTTTGTTTTATTCAGTGTTGCTTATAGAGTGAGTCAAAGCTGGCAAAGACAAGACTCTCATGACAATGTCTTGTCCCTTGGGCCTGAAAAGTGTGTTAATATTACATGTACGTGTATAAGGGACACAATTGTATCACAATGCTATGCCAATCTTTTTGCCATCTTAGATGCACACACACACACATGCACACACACACACACACACACACACACACACACAAGCCTAGAGATATTGCTAGTATTGTATATTTCAGGCTCCTCTTGATTAACCATATATTATGAATTACATTAACTGATCTTACATATATTCATATTCTCTGCAGTAATTCTGAGCATGCATCAAGATACCTGGCTATTGCTCAGCTAAATGCTGCATTTGGCCTATAAATTTGGGGGCTATACTCTGAAAGGCTTGGCTCAAAAATCTAAATTCAATTCAATTTAATTTTAATTTAATAAAAATAACATTCAGTTACTCCAATATAATTGATATGATTGACTTCAATTTACGTTATGATTTTCTTCTTTTGTTTCTTTAAATATTGCAAACTGATAGCTCCTTTCTGATGGACTCTTACAAGCTTCGAGGAGCTATGTGTGATCCTGAGGAATTTAATCTAAAAGATTGTGCATATACTGTGGTTCACATCACATATATAGTAATACAAGAAGATTTAAAGATTTGTTTTTTGATTTGAGCAGCATTTAGAAATCTTCCCATTAAAAAAACCTACAGAATTAGAATTAGCATCACTTTAAAGAAGTTAGATCAGGGGTCCCCCACCCCAGGGCTGCTGCCTACTATGGGGCCATGAGCTGTTCGAAACCGAACTGTGGAAATGCACTCTATTTGCACAAGCAGCGAGTGTACGGAGCTACATGCTCACATGCACTTGCTGGCCACTCATGTTGAACCATCCCCTCTCCCCACACCCTTGTTGGTTTGCAAAGCCATAAAGAATGGGAAACTCTGAGTTATATAATGGAATTGGAAGACCATTGCTACCTCCTGAGTCAGATTTATTTAGGTAAAATATCCTTCTGGTATGTCTTGTTCAGGTTCAAATGGCACTTGTAGCACTACCAGAAGATATTCATGCAGAATTTGAGCATCATCTTGCTCAGCATTCTTGTAGATCACCTGTAGATAATTTTGTAGTTTGGCTGGGGATCACCTGCAATCCAAAGGGACAAATTACTTCCAACTGGGCTAAAACTTTTGGTAATTAATCTTTGAAGAATACCAATTTTCTTCCCTAGTGTCTTTTAACTTCACTTTTCTCCCAGAAAGGGAGAAAGCCATTCCTACTGGCAGCTGAAATGGGCCATGAAGAAATGATAGATGAGTTGATTACCCTTAATTTATTCACCTCAGAAAAGGATAAGGTAAGCCTATTTATAAAGAAGGTTCTTTGATTTTTGTATGTCATATACTTAATTGTAAGAGGGTTCTTTTGGGAAATGGTGCAGACCACCAATAGACTACTGCTATTGTCCCTGCATTTCTAGAGAGATTTTTTATTATATTTATTAAAAAGATTTTTATTATATTTATTAAAAATATATTTATTAAAAAATAAACTTATTTCTGAAATTTATCACTCATGCCAAAGTCCATCTCATTTAAAGAGTCTTTATAAACAATTATTTTCTTTTTTGTTGAGCTATGTTGAGCTAAATACAGTTATTGTATCTTTAGACATCATGTACAATGCCCATCTTGAAGTTAGTTTGCCTCTGTTGCTGTCAGCTGCTTTTCTGAACTGCTGAAGTGGCTTTTGCACTATGTTGATGAGGGTGGGAACAGCTGCTATATGCTTGTAGCTTGTCAGTATCTTTGGTGGAGTGAAGTAGCTTCTGGGTTCTGCTTCCTCTTTCAGTTCCTGTGCTGTTGGCTTGCTGGAATCCATACCTGCTCCTTTTTCGCACTTCTTTACTAAGCTACATTTCATCATGATATTCTCAACTGCAAATTCTTCCTCTGCTCTGTCACATGATGAGAATCTTTCTCCATCACACACACTGGGCCACGAGTCTAATTCTCTGTTTTAGTGCATATTAAGCATCTCTTATCTTCCACTTAAGCACTTCCAGAGAAAGGCAATCCACCACTTCTCCAGTTATTATATCACTGTTCTTACTGTTAACATTTGTCTAACAATGCAGTACTGCAGGCTACTTCTGTTGACTGCCAGCTGCCTGCAATTTGGCAGTTTGAATCTCACTAGGCTCAAGGTTGACTTAACCTTCCGTCCTTCCAAGATCGGTAAAAATGAGGACCCAGATTGTTGGGAGCAATATGCTGACTCTGTAAACTGCTTAGAGAGGGCTGTATAGCACTGTAAAGTGGTATATAAGTCTGTTATTGCTATTTATTTGAGATGTAGAAAAAAATCTAAAACTAAAATCAGCAGGTAGATTTTTTTAAACAGGTGAAACCACATTCTCTATTTATTGATGTCTAGTGAGCATTGAATGGGCACTGATGCAGGGACAGGGATCCCCAACCCCTGGGCCGCAGCCCACGACTGGGCTGTGAGCCATTTGGAGCCAGGCCGCAGAAGCTACATTGCTTTTTCACTGTCTTACATTTGTATTATGTCTACCAGAAGTGTGATTGCATTTTCTGTGAAAAAAATCAGTAGAAAGTCATATTGGTGTTATATGCAGTGGGTCAATCCTGAGTGGCTCTGGGAGAAGGGATTATTTAAAAAGTGAGTGTGGGGGGAGGGTTTTGTGGCCCACAAGGCAATTATCTCTCTGCTGCTTTTTACCCCCCCCCCCTGAATTTAATTAGCCGAATAATGAAATAATTTGCAAACATATTGAACAGTGTATATATTTTAAAAGCATATTTTATTTGAAATGGCAGATTGCATACTTAGCAAAATACCAATGTACCAAACACCTGCATGCAGTCTTGTATTAAAGATCTAGCATTATGTTTATCATTCTTGGTTCAAGAATGTTTGTTTTTAGTGATAATTCAAGCCTACATTCTTAGTTGTCTCTGTACATTTTTGTAGGAAGGAAACACTGCCTTGCATCTAGCAGCTAAAAATGGCCACAGAGATGTGTTAGAGATTCTTCTTCAACAGTGGGAAGATATCAATGAACTCAATCAGGTAAAAATACAAGAAATAGACTGAAAGATTCATAAATAAAAATAAAAATAACATCTTTATTTTTAAAAATAAAGAAAGCAACTCATGCTCAAAATTCAGACAGGCTTTTACTCCATGCTGACTGCAGAACAATGGGGTCACACAGGCATAACAGAGCATGCCCGACACCACCCACAGCACTGCATTTTGGACCAACCATTTCTCTGGAGTAGTTTTCAAAAAGATCCCTATGTGGAGTTCATTACTGTAATCCATGTAACTATATCTGCTGTGGATGTTTTGTTTATGTTTTATTATTGACTGGTAAATTGTCATTATTTGGTATCATGTATATTGATTTGGTGATGTACAAATAAAATCAATCATTGTGTATGATCAATACTAAGGTTACCATTATTTATACAATTTTTCTTTTGCCAATTATTAAACATGAACCACCTTTGAAAATAAATAAAATAACTGCTGAAATGCAGGCATACATATTTTGCAATCCCATATCAAAAGTGTCAATAGAAAAATTACCTTTAATAATCTTCAATTTTATAGAAATTATCTGAAAAATATTCTTACCTCCTATGAGCCAGTATTGGGTAGCTGTATATCAGCAGCTGTACCTGACATTAATGACATATTTCATTTTGTATTGTTCTTCAGAATTGTGAAACACCATTTTATATGGCTGTTGAAGGAGGCCATGAAAAATGTGCTGACCTCTTACTGGAAGCTGGAAGTGACATCAATATTTTGAACAAAGTATGTAGATACATGTGGTGTTCTTTATTAATTTACTAAGATAATTTTTGTTTTAATTTTTCTTGTTGTAAATTAAAAACCAGATAAATTACTTTTGTAAAATTTGTATTAAAATATAGTAGGGCTGCCAGATCTGGATGGCAAAATCCAGATGATCACTAGATTTTAAGTTCCCTATATATCATTTGATGGTATTCACCTGGATTTTTATAGCCCCAGTTAACTCATCTCCGTCTCATTTTTGTATCTTCTTTATTACTTATTTTTGTAATAAAAAGGAACTTAATGCGACATTAATATAGAAGTTCAAGGAAAATGAAAGAAACAGTAATATAATTATTAATAGTATCCCTTAAGCATCCCACTAATACAAATTAAGGATATGGAACAGCTATTTGGAAAATTGCAATCATTATTTTTTAAAACTTCATTTTCTGCTTTCCATATCATCCAGCAATAATCCAGTGCAAATTTTCTGAGAAGTAATTTTGTTTACTATGAAGAGTATATACAAATGCAATTTTAGCCTGATAGATTTAGCTAAGGTGGCATGATTTTGATTTGGTAAACTATATTTTTCCCCTTTCTCAACCATTTTCCTTGTTTCATATATCCACATTTCACAGGAAACATTGTGTCTTAAATCATATTTCCTCTGTTTGAGTAGCATTAGAAACTATGGCATAAGTTACCAGAGTTTCTCTATCAGAACTAAATACATAAGGAGATGAGGTAGAAGAGAGTATAAAAACATTATTCATGCATTTGATGTAGACTTTGATGAAACATGAAATAACTGTGGCAAAAAATAATGAATTATTCTCCAAATGTGTTTTCTGGAGATTGGTCTAATTAGTTTTTCTTAAACATTTTTTGTTATTAGCACAACTGTACATATCTTCCAAAAATATATATTATTTTCCCTTCTTTTCAACATATTTCTTTCAGCAAAATGTCAGTGCATTACATGTTGCAACTCAAAATGGACACACACCTTTGGTCAGATTTCTTATCAGTCATAATATTGATCTGGATGCTCAGTCTCAGGTGACTTTTTGTTATTGTTGTTTTCTCATATGTTATATCCCTGGCATTTCTTGACATTCTCTGAAAGTGGTGATAGCTACAACTATGCATAATTCAAGACATAAAAAGAGAAGAACCACAGTCTGCCTAAACCAATTAAGCATTCTATTTTCAGTTTTGCTGAGTGAATATTAAAATATGCCAGCTCTGAAATAAAAGATAAGTAAAATAAAGATAAGTAAAAATATTCAGCTGGAGAAATTGTCCATTAATATTTTCAGACATACAATATATGTATCTCATACATTTGCAACAGTTGCAAGAGATTCCTTTGCAAAAAATTTGGGTGATGTGCTTGCACCTGCTTTAGCAGTGTAGCAAACACTTGAATCAAAGTGCTCATCCTCCTCATTCGAAAATTCATCACAGAATTTAACTATAAAAAGGTACAGGATGAAAGTTTTGTGCAAACAGCAATAGCTGTGATTTGAAAAAAGGCTGAATGAAATTACAGTTTTTAAAAACCTGGATTTGAAAAATAGGCAGGGCAAAATTCAGTAGAATTTCTTAATAAAATGAAGTAAAAGTTGTAAAAACTACATGTCAGTGTGTATGTGTGACACAATAGAGCATATGCAAATAATTAAGAGATTTTCTATAATTTAACAAAATTGCAAAAAAAATTGCAATACTGCTCTTTTAACAGAAACATTAAGACTTTTAGCAATCTATATATGGATATATTACTTCATAACTAAATAATCCTAATTTATTTAGGACTGTAGGCAAATAGTCTGTATCAGAGCTGTCTACAAAGAGGGCTCAAAAAAGTCAAGATGATGGCCAGTCATGTGATCAAAACCTTGCCTTGTTCAGCAATGGATATAAAGAAGGGTGTGCTTCAGTTATATAGTTGTGATCGCCATCTTGACTTTTTTGACCTCTTCTTGGAGGACAGACAGGCTTGGTCTATGCTGTTATAAAAGCTTTACCATCAGCATGATAGACATAGCTTAGGAGAAGTTTGTTGAATTTGTGAAATTAAAATACCTATGATCAAGAGAGAGATATTTTAATATTCTAACATGTTTGAAATAAAACAAGTTTGTAGTGGATATAGTACTCATAAAATTCAATTAAAGTAAATGCATAAACTAGCCATCTGAATAGTGGCTTTTAGTGGGATAATGGAAATCTTGAATAACCTTATTGGAATTATATATTTGATTGTTAACAGATAACAGATAATCAGAGTTGGAAGGGATCTTGTAGGTCATCTACTCTAACCCCCCCCCCCCTCACCCAAGCGGGAGACCCTACACCATTTCTGACAAATGTTAATACAGGTTTTCATCATATTTTAAAACTTTTCAACCTGGTCAAGCATGATTTCTTATGAATAAATCATATGGTTTCATGATGTTATTTCTCCTCTCTTTACAGAAAAATAATTCTCCTCTACATTTGGCTATCACAAAAAATAACTTATCAGTGATAAATAGTTTAATAAAGGCAAACCATAACATAAATTGCCTAAATAAGGTAAGAAATTATTGTTAGAATCATTTGAACATTGGACACAATATTTTTCTGTGTTTGAGTGTATAAATATTAAAATGCTGATATTAACATATCAGCATTATGATTTGATTTATGGCTTGGCTGCTCATTGTCCAGACTACTGCCTTTGACTTCAAACTCTCACATTTCCATGAAACCAATACAACCCTCTGAGACAAAATTACCAGGGAAATACTCCTTGGATTTTTAACAAAAGTAAAGAGAAAATCTCCATTTTAGAAGTTCAGCTTCTTAGCTCCTGGGGACATCCAGCTACTTTTCCTAATTTCCACATAAATACATACAGAGAAGCAAACAACAACATTGCCACGTTTATTTTTAGAAAAAGCTTGAATAACATGTTTATTCTGATTTTTAAAATATTCCAAAATATTTTAGGCAGAAATTAATACATTTAAAACAATTATAATTAAAAAAATAGATACTGATTTGGATGGATACACTTTTGGAATTAAATTGGATGGGAGAAAGGGGATTGCCATTGAGAAAGTGCACTCTCTATATTTGCAAGAAGAGGAAACTTGCAACAGGCCCTGAGCCAAACTTATTCATTGCCATATTAATTCCATTCTTTGCATGGTGCGGATATTCTTTGTTACATTTTTCTAATGCAAAAGATTTCTGAATAATATTATCCTTTACATCTACAAGAGACATCAAACACCTTTACATCTGGCAGCAGACCTTGGAAATGTGGAAATAATAGAAACGTTGCTAAAGGCAGGCTGTGACTTCAGCATGGTAGATAAGGTATTCATGATTCTATTAAAATGCATTTCTCCTGCATGTCTTGGTTTGGTTTTCAGATTATCCCTTATTAAAATAGAATTCTTGACTTAGATTAAAACTTGCAACAGGGATAATAGAATAAGACCTATGGTATCAGACATAAAATAACAGTATTTTTTCTTTGTATTTCTGACATAAAGTAGTACAGATCCTTGAGTTACAACTGTAAGGGGGCCTGCCCATTATGGTTGAAAATTGGGAGGACAGTTAAGTGAACCACCTATCTTAACAACATCCCCATCTATGGTTTTCCCAATGCATTTGTTAAATGAACATATGGTTTGTTAAGTGGAAAATCAGGCTTCTAAATCTAAGTAGCTGAATTCTTTAATTATAATTCTGTAGTCCCATTACAAACACCATTGTTAACATTTTGGTTACATTCACACAATATACTTAACTGGGGTACCAAGTTGTTCCATTTCCTGGGATCACACACTACCTTAAGCACAAACTAATTAAACATGTCAGGTTGCATTTCACTAAACCAAATCAAAAATTTGGCAACTGCAAGACAGAAGTTCCTAGAAATGAGATGGTTCCATTTCTCTATTCTCTTCTGAGGCTTCTTGGATTTTTTTAATGTTCCAGAATGCATTCAGCAAGAGGGAAATTATTTTGACAAGTAAGACAGATAGACTAAATATTTTTCAGAGGAGTTTGCATAGGGAGTACAAAAAAAAAAAAAAAAAAGCCAGAATATTGGTCAAAGTAGCACAGTCTTTTTAGGTATATTAAAAAGGGGTGGAGCTTTGATCTGTTGTATCCTGTGGCTCTGCTATCATTAATAAGACTGGTTACACTGGAGGCAAATTATTGTGCAGTGATGGAAAAAACAACCACTCATTTTTGTCTATCATGAGCTGAGGCTGAAGTTGGGGAAGGAACTAAGTTGTAACAGATGGCTATATTAGAGATTTATCTCTGTTCAGAGCCTAATATACAATCCACTCTTGCTTTACTAAGATTACCCACTCTGGATTACTTGCAGCACCTGGTCCAAGAAGTTTCTAGAAGTGTGAGATACTCTTCCCTCCTTTCACATCTCATTTGATTTGCCTGCATACCTGTCACCATTCCATACATAAGTTGGTGTTAGTGCTGGTTGAAGCAGGAGGGCACAAATTCCAGTCTGATGACATAATGCATGATCTTCTCACTTCAGAGTGTGTACCACAATATGATGTGCCAGCAGCCATGTTGGCAATCTGCTCATTAGGCACTGCTCCACAACCACGCACACAATCTGCTAATGTGACTTGCAGCACACCATGCATGCAATCTTGGAAGGAAGTGTAAATGGGATTTCAGAGAGTTGTATCTTTCAGCTGACAGCTTTTGCCTGTCGGCCATTACCCACTGAAAGTGACCAATGTGTACTGGGCAGATTATTAGCTCAATTACTACCAAAGCACTCGTGTCATGTGTAAAGTTATTTATTGGAAGAAAATGGAAAACATCAATTTAAATTAGAAAAAAAAGTGCTTTTTGTTATGGGGATGGGAAGAAAGCTGTATCGCGAAGGTGTCCTTCAAGAACTACTATCCAGACAACATTGAGCTAAAGTGGGGCATGTAAATGTACCTACAGCCACTAACTCATTTTTTTTTTAAAGTCTACTCAAAATTCTACAAATTTAATAGGTTGGAAATAGTTGCACTTTTACATGGAATGGTAAAATGTAGTACCGGTAGTTGGCTGGTTTGCAGGATTTTAAACTTTTTAAGAGGGAAATAGAGAATCCATGGAAACATTTTATCTACTTGGATACATAATTATATTTAGATTGCTATAAAAATTGTGTGCTGCTGGCCAAAATAACTTTTTAAAAAAACACTTATGATACTGGTACATGGTGGTGAGATTAGAGAATTTTGCAACGTATTCTGTACCTTAGCACATATTTTGTGTGTGTGTATGTGTGTTCCTTTCGTTTAATAACTGACAATGTTTACATTTTAGCAAGGAAAAACTGCACTTGCTGTAGCATCCAGAAGCAATCATGCCTTAGTTGTAGACATGATTATAAAAGCAGAGAGATACTACATCTGGAAACAGGTAGGACACAACTTATTTAGCTTTTCTGGTCAAGCATGTTTCTCGATTATATTGAATTTCATGAGAAAAATAACTTATTTTAGTTCTGGAGTTTGAAGCTTCCTTGAAGAACTGGTAGGAAATCTTAGATCAGAAATATCCCATTTCTTTCTTTTCCCTTTCCACTTTGCCCAGCAGCCCTTCCTCATGCCATCATGATAAGACTAAATAAAAATAAGATAAAGTTAAATTCTTAGGTTGCTTTTTAACTTTTATTTACTAACGAAGTCTTGACTTTCCAGTTTTCTTCCTTAGATGATAGTGTTAAAAACTGGCAGAAGAAATAATTGTATTTGTAGAATTGTAGTTTCCAAAGATAATTTTCGTAAGTGTAATCCAAAATATGTCTACTTAGATATGTTGGCTGCTGTCAGGTGTGAAAGACCAGGCCCATATGTGAAGATCCAATAAACTGGTTTATTGCTGTCTGTGCATAAGAATATTCTCAACTAACAGCACCTGCTTGGAATTAGATAAGGGTCCAAAGAATTCAAGGGGTTTGGACTTAGTCTGCTTGTGGCTACATAGGGATTCTAGGCTGATCTCCCTTTTGATTCCACTCTCAGGTTCTGCCACACTTCCTATATTGTGCGTATTACAAACCAGAAAGCCAGATAAGGCAACAATCATGTAGATAAATACCAAATATATTATCACCAGCCTTCCTAATCTTGTCACTAATTACCTCCTTGAATTAAGGTGTCATCTGTGTCGATGCTAATGCAATATTTTGACAGCTTATTGGTTGAACCACCCTCCCTTCTCTGTGGTCATTGTACCTTTCTCATTCCAGTAATATGGGACCCTGGACTTGTTCCATGTTCCAATCCTAGCTGCCTCTTTCCTTGACACTCCTGGGCAAAGGTCTGTAAAACAGGACCCACAGATATATGGCAAATTTATTCAGCCTTTCACTGTATAAACTTGTAAAACCTCCATTTTTGCTGAAGAGACCAAGGAGGGTTTTACTTTATGCCGTTACTTTCTCTTGCTGAAAACAACTGAAGATAGAGGACAGAGCAGGAGTTGCAAATAAAATAGATTTAATTTGGACTTACCTGGCTTTCTTAATGCTGTGTGATAATATTAACTATATTGATAGGGAAATATACATCTTCCCAGTTGTCTTATGTGTAAACCTGATATGGGTAAGATTTTTTTAGCAACTGTTTTGTACCATAGGGAATAGAAGGGGCTGCTTTGGAACCTAGATAAATATATTTTCTAATCTTATTACAAACACAGGCAAAGGAAGAAAACGATATTTCATTACAAAGAGTAGCCAAAGAAAATAAGAAGAATTGATTTTTGAGCAAAGAAAGTGCCTCTCTATAAATGTTTGTTACAGGCAAAGAGGGAGAGCTCACTTCCACAATATATTCCCTATGATGTTATAAGCTATTTCCTTATCAGTGAAAAATAACTTTGTGCAGATAATATATAAAAGAAGTAGGACAATTTGGGGGAAGCAGAGTACACTGCATGTATTTTTTAAAGTCCCAAAGCATGATTTGTGAGAAGATTTCCTCTGGTCTTATTTATTTAGTGTATGGCATGTGTTAGCCAGGGATCACCAAGGTGGCTGGTTGCTTCTGTGAAACAATTTTTTTCAGGCAATGTTATCTTCACCCGTGGGACGCCTGAATGCCAGTAGGCATTTGGGGGAGGCTCCTTTCTTGTCCCTATGCGGTTTATTCACTCACAGGAATTGAACCGCTGAGCTGCCGAACTCAGCAGTACACAGGCCCAGAGGCTTACCATGTGAGCCACCGTGGCCCCTTTCCTCTAGTCCTCTGGTCTAAGACAGTAATAAATCGATTGACTGAGCAGACTTCAGCATTGTTGAGCTTCTACTTTTACTAGTACTCCAAGATACATCAGCCAGAGCCTGGTGAACGAGGCATATAAAACTGAAGAAATTAATACCTCTGAAGGATTTGATGTTCAGTACCAAATACCTAGAGATCCAGTTTGACGTAATGGTTAAAACATCAGGCTACAAGCTGAGTTCTATTCTGCTTTTGGCACCTGAGCCAGTTACTTTCTCAGTCCTGGGAAGGATCCAATGGTAAACTATTTCCGAAAAATCTTGTTGGACATAATTCAGTTGGACATAGTTGAACAGAAGGAAAGAAAAACATAATCTACATTATTAACGTTTGTAAAATATTTAGAATAATATCCAAATATTATAGTTCTTTGAGAGTGAAAGCAATTATTGAAGAATACATGATTTAATCTCTGAAATTTCCTTTGCAGGAGCATCACTGTACTGATGTGTCAAATATTAATCTATCTTTTAAACAAGATCACAACATACAGACCAAACAGTTCCGTGCATCTCTTTGGAATCTAGCATATAATAGGTTAAAAATGCGAGAATGGGTAAAACTGGCACAGTTTTGGAAGTTTACAAATGAACAAATCAAAGCAATAGAAGAACAGTGGACAGGTAACTTGCTGAATTTTTTTTTTAAAAAAAAAACCGTGTTCCCATTCCAAATACAGGAAACTTAACTAAAATCTAAGTTAGTGTTTCTGAGAGATATAGATTTCTTTCTTTATAAATCTCAATCCTTGCAGTGTTTTTAAAAAAGAATTGAATAGGGAAGAAAATCGGAATAACTACTGGATATTCTTGCAAATGTTGTTGCTAACATAGAAAAATTAATATGATTGTATGTGTGTTTAAAGAAAAATAAAGTGCAATTTCATTATAGTATGTTGAATGTATTGAAGAGACTAGGATCATTAAAAATCCTCCTCCTTTCAGCTTTAATGAGACTGTCACTATAGCTTTCATTTTGTGAAGTTTCTTAAAGGTGTATATCACAAAGGCCAATCAAAATTCAAGGCACTTTAGACCCCACCTTTATGAGGTTCATCATTATCCAAGCTCAGTTTTCAGTATATGTTATATCAGGTATCTATTTCAATATTTACATTTCTTCAGAATAGATTAAGTAAAAGGCACTTTGGAAATTGATGGTTCTTTTAGTTCTTGCTGCAAACAAGCCAGGACTGCATTCCAGACAGGCGATAGGTGGTGTCATATACCTCCCACTCTATTGAGGGAGGACTGTTCAGTTCTAACATAGATGGACTCTTTTACCCTCTTTCAAACTACCTATCTACAATGGAGTCCTTTCAAAAGTTCCAAGAAGATTCCGCAACCATTTGTATTCTGATTCAGGTGACCCTGAAGACAGAGAAACCCCCAAGCGGCCTCAAAGCTCTCCCAGAGAGTGCCAACATCCAGATGATTGCAAAGAAATACAATCCTTCCACCCCACTCCATCATCCTGTCAGAACCCATCCTTCCATCCTCCCACCATTTAGTGTCAACTGTCAATACTTACTGTAAACTTCCATCCCACCACCATCCAGTCACAACTGATGAAGCTTCTTGGATGAGAAACAAATCTACTTCTTCTTCAAAAAGCACTTCAGTTGCCTTTTGAAAAAGCACCTTTGAGACAACTACAACCTGGATGACTGAGAATCTCCCGAGACCACGGGTGTCAAACTTGATTTCATTGAGGGACACATCAGTGTTGTGCTTGACTTTGCGGGGGGCAGGGTGGGCATGGCCAGCTCGACATCACTCATGTCGGGGTCACCTGTGGTGGCCCAAGCATTCTGCCAGAGAAAATGGGCTCCCAAGCTCTGTTTTCGGCTGCCACAGCCTCCTGCAACCCTCTGCCAGCGAAAACAGAGCTCGGGAGGGCCAGGCCCTCCTTAGCTCCATTTTCGCTGGCAGAGGCAACGCGGGCCAGTCCTTCACTGTTTCCAGAGCGGCCCCATGGGCCAGATCTAAACACCCCATGGGCCAGATCCAGCCCCTGGGCCTTGAGTTTGACGATCCTGCCCTAGACAATTATATTCCTTCATCAAGATTTCATAAACATCCAATTAGTATATATGAAATAGGGACCTCATTCCATTACAATACGTGAAAAACTATTTTTTCTACTTGATTACTCTTCAACTATAGGATTGGACTAGGCATAAAAACATTATAGGAGAACTATTCCTCCTTTACTGTTGAAGATCTAGGAACCTCCACTGATAAAAACAGACAAAGCATCTTTATCGCTTGATAAAAACAGAATACAAACTTTTCCCGTTGACTGTGATCTAAAAAAAGCTACTTTGCATCCCAACTGATTGTCCTTTCAGCACCTGTATTTATTGATTCCCCAGACCAGCTTAAACCTACAATATTTTATTTATATCTTAAGAGGAGGCCTTTCTCCAAGTGCTTTGGTAAGATAAATGCATTAGGAAGAGGTGCTTTCTATGACATGAACATACTCTGATCTTTCAAAGGCGATTCAGTTTTAACTAAAAAATAAAATGTTTTGATTGCCCCAGGATTTTGTTTATATGTTGATGTCCTTTGTACATCTTTCAGCTGGTTGAATTCTGTCCTATTTAATATTGTGGGACAGCTTAGAAGCTTATTATTTCATATTGTTGATATTTTAAACTTTAGCTACTGCCCCGGAGCACACTTTCTGATATGAAAAATAACTATTTTTGTTTTGTTTCCATAGAGCACTAAAATACCTAACTATGAGGAGAGGGGCAATAGAACCCTCCCCAAATGAATATCCAGCTGTAGATGGGAACGCCAAAGCTGTTTAATCCTTTCTGTTCCTGTTATTATTTTCTCAAAATCATACTTGCCAAAGCCACTGTCTCACCCACAGAAAGATACAGAATCTCCATAACTTTGATCCTAGATAGCAAAAATAATTAAGGAAATAACATTTTGACTGCTAATGTGGTGAAGTGGAAGGGGGGGGGGGGCGGAATAACAGTCTCCTAATATAAAAAAAGACTAATGTCATCAGTTTTTTATGTCTCATTTGTGTAATATCGTCCTCAACATTTCTGTCTTTGCAATCTCTATAGTAGTAGATCTCTTCATATTTCCCTTTAAGAATTAGTGGAGGGAACAAGAGGCTTAATAGGCTTGATTTTCATTATGCTGTGCCCCTACTAATCTCTTCCACCTTCCCTTTCCAACAAAAAAGTTTAAGAATTTAGGGTAAACTCTTGAAACAAATCTCTGCAGCCAAAAATGTGACATAGAAGCATTTCTCCAAACAGTAGGCTAACATTTTGTATATTATCCTCTAGGGGAAAAGAGCTACAAGGAACATGGATACAGAATGTTTCTTATCTGGTTACATGGTGTTCTGATAGCTGGCCAGAATCCTATTAAACATTTATATGAGGACCTGATAAGCATGGGATTTCCACAACTGGCTGGTGAGCAATTGTTGTAAGCATCACACTTAGAGCCTGTTAGAGTAGTTCACCTTTCCCTTTTGGAAAAGATTCAGGACAAAGAAAGTTAGATTACAGAGAGCAGATTTACAGGCATGCTCTTACCTGAAAGGGTCTTCAAACAATACTTTTTTAGTGAGAAGCCCCTTAAAAACACTTGAAGCAGCTTGTTTCCACATGATGAACCAAATGACATTAGTCACCTAGTTCTTATTATCCAGTCCTGCCTCCAGCAGAATAGCTTGCTATTGGAAAAGCCAGGAGATTCCATATTTCAAACAGGGAGTGTTTCTAGACCAGTGTTTTTCAACCTTAGCCACTTTAAGACATGTGGACTTCAATTTTCAGAGTTCTCCAGGCCAGCATGACTAGGTGACTTGAGGCTGCTCACCCAACCTACCACACAGGGAGTTTGTTATGGAGGGAAATAGGAAGAGAGGGCATTGGGTATGCTGCTGAATAAAAGGGAGATATAAATCAAATAGAGAGGCAATGCAGAGAACAACAACATGCTCTTTTAAGGGGAAAAAAAGGCAACATAAGTATGCTGGACAGGCAGAAGTATAATCAAACTTTCTAACAAATAAAACAAGAACCTGCAAATACAGGTAGTCCTTGACTTAGGACCACAATTGAGGCCAGAATTTCTGTTGCCGAGTGAAAAATTTGTTGTGAGTTTTGCCCCATTTTATGACTTTTCTTGCCACATTTGTTAAGTGAATCACTGCAATTGTTAACTTAGTAACATGGTTGTTAAGTGAATCTGCCTTCCCCATTGACTTTTGCTTGTCAGGAGGTTGCAAAAGAGGACCTGGGACTCTGCAACTGTCATAAATGTGAACCTGCTATCAAGCATTCAAATGTAAATCATCTGACCATGGGGATGTTGCAATGGTTATAAGTGTGAAAAGTTACCTTTTTCAGTGCCATTGTAACTTCAATCGGTCATTAAGGACTACCTGTATAATTATGGATAACTATGAATATATTTCTAGGCAAAACCCACGCTCAGTGTGTTTGATGGAATTATTTCTAGGAAAGCACAGAATTGCAACTGAAAAGCCTGTTGACTTTGTAAGCTTATAAGAAACAAAGTGGTAGTAAGCGGGTCAATTTCTTCCTAGAATAAAAGCAAAGAAGCCAAGTTTATTTTGAGACAGGTTTGTTTCAGCTTCATAAATCGGTAATGATTTTAGTTTAATTTTAAATGGCTACATGTATATTTTGTTTAAAATTGCAGCAGATGGTCTTGAGTGGCTACTAAACTTTGAATATTATGTCTGAATCTATTTACATCTCAAAAAGATTAAAGGCGTGTTGTATTTTCTGAATTCTAACAAGAATATATCCTCTTGCAGAAAAGTTCAGAGCAGAAAATAATGCTGGCACAGAATCCAAGAAATGCTCGGTTTCATGAAATTCAAGGGAATCTGAAGCAATGAAATAGGAGAATAAATGAGTATTAAAATATTATTTATAATCAAGTTCTCCAATGTTTCTCTATAAAGAAAGCTTATCTTCTCACCACTTCTGTAATATCTCCCACCCCATCAACTCCCCATCCCCATGCTAACTAGGACTTCTCCACCTCCATTGGCTCTTTCCAATCCCAATTCACCATTCAGAAATTTCCAGCTTTCCGATTCATTTTTAAAAATCTTGAGTGGCTGTATCCCACTCAGAAGGAGTGACCTAATTTGGAGGTGGTAAAAGAATATGGGGTTATGTGACTTCTTGGGTTCCAAAAGCAATGGGGAAATGAATGTGGCAGTGGATGAAGATCTGCTTGAAAATAATTTCAGTCAATGATAGATTTTTTTCCCCTGTGAATGGCTGATAATTCCTGTAGGAATCCACTTGCACCTGAGGGCATATTAGCAACTCTGCCATGCAATCTGTACATAATACTCTCAGTTAATTTTTTGCAGAATGAAACATTTCTTGAGATGATTGCTTCCACAAGTATACTTCTTTTTAATATTTGATATTTTAAATAAAGTATTTTCTAAGAACCCTCGTGTGAAAAGAGTAGCATGTTGTATTATGAACAAAACAAATGAAGTAGGATTTAAAAGATGAGACAAACTCTGTCTTCAAGCACTTTCATCTCATAATCAAATGCCTTTGACTTTGTGTTTGAGACCCTTTGAGTAGAAATCTATACAGGGAAATATGACAGACAGCCATACCAAGTAAAAAAAGTGCATCCTTGAATGTAAGATAATAATTGTAAGATATTTAAATTGCAATCCTAGGCACATTTTTCCGGTAATAATGTAGAATATAGAAAGAAATGCATGAACAGAAAATTAGGGGGGAAAAGCAGAAGAATTTTGGTTGGATGATGTTGATGAGATCCTGAAGTTTAATGGACAGAAGCAGTATGAATCGGTGGATGGGTGTGGTAGAATATGAAACTGGCATGCGAGGAAAGAAAATATGGGAAAATATATTTGTTTTTCACTATTTTCTGCCTCAAACTTATTTTGCTTATTATTTATTTCTTTTGCACCCACAAATGAGAGTATCATGTATGTATGTGTGTATGTATGAATGCAATGGGTAATGATAAAGTAATTAATGCTATTGTTATGGATGTGTTCGTGTGGTAATCGGGAGCCAAGCTCAACCTGAGGCAGACTGTATAGTCTTATAATGTACTGTACTTATATTAAGAATCTGAGGCAAATAAACATAGTAATTAGTATTCCTAGTATAAATTTAAAGCACATTTGCCTCTTTATCAACGATTATTGCATATAACAAACAAACGAAATTATGGTTTAGTCCTGAACAGACACACTTATGATACAGCTGAAGCCATTCAGATTTGAAGGAGAAAAAGTGATTTAAGTGCACAGAACTGTTTATGTAATAACTTCAGCTGTTTTTAGTTGATACACCAAAAAATGCATCTGAGGTGCTAACATGACTAAATATACCCCAGTCACATTTTCTTTTTCAGTCTGAATAGCTACATGGCCCAATCCATAATATAGTACTTGTCCGATCACTTTCAATACATGCGCTTTATTTCTTAAGCTCCTGCATCCATTTTACAAACCCAGATTACCTCCTCATGCTGCAGTTAGCCGTTTAGTAGTAGGTGTACAAGTGATGTATATACTTAAGAATTACCTTAGGGAGAAGCAAGTTGATGTAGCAGGTTGTTTTCCCCTACTGGCACCCCTATTTGATCACTAGGGTGGGCAATATGACTGGAAGAATCCTGGCTGAGAGATCCTAGTTAGTATAGCATCATTAGCACACCACAGCCACTGCTTTCTTCACTGCTGTTTCTTTGTCTTCTTCTAAAGACTGACATCAGTCCTGACATTCCATTATGCTTACTGAGGTCTCCTTACAGTAGCATAAGAGAGAGCAAGGATGGAATAGTCTTTGGTGCTAAAAGATAAAATCCATGAACACAAAACTGCAAATCTTCAATAGTCCCACTGCAAATTGCAATGGGAAAAATTGTCCCCAGTATGGAGAAGACTCACATCACTGTTATTTTACGTAAACGTTGGTGTTTATTTATTCATCTAGATTTAGGGTATTATGATATCTAATGTCACATTTCTTACCACCACCACCCTGGGGGGGGGGGGGTATTATACATTCTTAAAAGCTAAACTGAAGGAATCTGTAGAATAATTGGTGAAAGTACAAATGGGGTTGAGATGTCAGTGAATATTACTAATGAAAACACACAACTGGAGTAAACAGCAACAGCAATAAGTCCTTAGATTTATATACGATGAAATAGTGAAGTAAGACTAATAAACCACTTTTATGTTGGACAAAATGAAATTTCTCTGTACTGTTCCTGTTCTATGAATGGCTGAAGATAAAATATAGCAGAACCAAAACAAAATTCTGAATGTAAAGTCTGGTTATATGGATAATTTAGATAGCAATTCAGAATGTGGCAAACTGATCTATGCTCTTATTCACATATAAAGCAGAAATGCCTTTTAGAGTATACAAGTTCAATGCTTCATTTTTATTAAAAACATTAAATAAGCATATATAATAAAATAAGTTTAAGAAAGTGAAAATTTCAAGTATACCTTATTTGCAGTTACACAGAACTACATTGTGCCATCTTCAGTGGCACACTTTTTACACTTCAAAATATCTCTATATGTACAATATTATTGAGAGGAAAAACATGATGCTTCTTGGGTTATTCTATTAATCTGCAAACATCGGGGAGCACATTTTAAACAATAACCTGGAAAATTTTCTCTATGTGCTTAAAATAAAGTACAGGCATTTCAACCAGCTAACCTCTACTCCACTACCTTTATTGACTGAATGTTGTGAGTATGGGCAGGCGTTTTCCCACTGTGTCCTAGATGTCTCACCCCAATAGCATTAGAAGACTGGTGCACAGTTCGAGGATATTTAGCAGCAACAGCCTGAGATACAGTTTGCTGAAAGATATAAGAAGGAAGTTATTATTTATTTTCTATCCAATTTTAACAATATTAAAAAAAAAATTGAACACAAAGGACAAATATGGCCAGGACTTGCAGAAGTTGTTCCATAACTCAGGCAATACCCTCAAGAGTTTGCTAAGCCACTCCAATTTTTTTTAATAAACCAGTTAAACCTGTCTAGTCAAATAATATCGCTGAACAGGTTCCAGCACTCCCATTTAAAACAATAAACTATAGCCTAGATAGTCTGAGAATCTGTATGAACAGCTTTTCTCAAAATATTCTTGAAACAAAAAGGAACAACCACCACAAAAAAATCAAAAGTCCTCTGGGAAATTACACAGCAGCCCACCACAGTACAATTTTCTGTCTCATTCTGGGCCATTTTAGATGTGGGTTTTGTGGCTGCAGCTATAGGAAGAAGTAATTATCACTAGCACCTAGTTATGCAATGAAGCAAATATCCCCTGCTTTCATTTGGAAATGGAGTGGTAATAATCTATTGCAGCCATCTCCCACACTTCCATGTGTCAGCCCATAGAGATGCAACATTTACAGCCTTTTCACGTAGCTGCAGCTCTTTTGTAGAGAATCTACAAATGAGCATAGGATTCTTCTCAAATGAAAAACATCTTTGGCCCTCAACTACTAGTAAATCCCATATCTTGTTGGATCTAACAATAAAGGTTGTGTACTGTACATGTTTCAAGTGCTTTGCTGAGTTGCCATGGAAGCATAGAAGAGGAAGGAATTTCTTCTGGCCTTTGCAAACACAGTCATGAGTTCACATCCGGTCTCCCAATAGAAACATCACAGCAAGGAGAAAAGCAAACATGGGGCTATCCTACAACCAGCATAGTCTAGCTAGAGAAATGAGGGAAGCTAGGCCTGCTGTACTGAACTCAATCCATCAACAGCGAGAACATTAACAAGGAAAAAATTGCCTGGTCCCAGATGGTAAAAGTAATGCTAGTTTATAACCTGTCACAAAGTAATGCCCACATGTGTTTATTTAAAATGAATTGAAGAGATATTGCTTTCAAAAGCTTTCTCTGATTTTTTTTTCTTTACAGCATCATTTTAAAGGAAACTGACAGAAAAGAAACTAATTAACATGCAAATTTGTGAATATACCAAAAGGTGAGGTGAGCAAAAAGACAGATACCACACATCAAAGAAGCTAGAAAATTCTATTTAGCTTGTGATGAAGAACCAGCCATTTTTAAAGATAATCAGAGGAAATGCTATTGCATTTTGGCACACGATGACAGTATCATCTTGGTCAGCAGTAAACAGGCCTTCCCTTAGGTGGTGCTTGTACTCTGGTGTACCATTATACAATAAAAAGATACTTAAGGTTTAGTTGGGATTCAGTGCCGAATTCTAATTCAGATCTAAAATGAAAAAGTATCTAGCCTGTTGGCTTCTACAAGTTCCATTCATTTTCTTTTGTCTTGCCCCTCTTGGAAGATGTTTTTCCTTAGTTTTCAATTGTTTTCTATAATATCAATTGTGACATGAGGGCAAATTCATGAGGGGGTGGGCTTTCTTCTCCCTCCAGCAATTGCTGCTCAACTCTTCCATTTAAAATATCTAAATGGCAAAAACAGTATAGGAAGACTGCATCACCAGTTCCCTATGTTCTCATCTGAGTTTGAGAAACACTTCTCTTTACTAATCTGCATCATGGAAATCAAACTTAAAATCAAGAAAATGGAAGTATATGTTTACTCTGGAAGCAGAGCAACTATCCCCATTGATATTTCTCTCATATTAAATCAGACATTTGGTTCCTCCGTAGTCTCCTTAATAACTAGAAACATTCCAGACCAGCATTTTTTTCTAACCACACTTGAAAAACCTCAAAACTAATTTGGCACCTTCCATATGTTCCTATTTCCATATTCCAGTTAACAGAACAATCCCTTTAGAGTGCTATGGAGCACTAAGATATATTCTATCCAGTCTCCTGTTTCTTGCTTCCAAGTGACATTCCAAATTCAAGACTTCCCAGCAATCACACAAACTATTTGGGGTTCCTTCCTATTTATTTTTATGAATCTTAAAATTTACAAAATATATAATTTTGAATATCGAAAGATAAAAAATGTATACCAAAAACCAATACAGGTAATGCTGATTTATTTCCAAATTCATAAATCCTTCTTGAGCTTAAGACAAATGTTGAAGAAGACTGATTAGTTCTACCTGCTATTAGGAAATGGGTGTAGTATAGTTTAAGGTGAGTTTTGCAGCTACATGAACAGTATTTTATAGTTTCTAACTTTGTTTTTCATATATACTTAATTCCTTTCTCTCCCTTCTTCAATCTTGGACCCTTGGCCAAAGGCAGGAAATTCGATGGTTCTATGAAGTATCTTAACTGTTTCTTGCACTGCTCTCTTTTGGGCAGAAAGTTCTGGTGTTGATTCTGGGCTCTGTTGGAGCCATTTGCCTAGCTTAGGAGTCCCAGTCCCAAATGCTCCTACCAATACTGAGATCATTTTGGTCTTTTCTTTCCAATCCTCTCTAATTCGTCTTTCAGACCCTGATACTTTTTCAGCTTCTTCCTCCTCCATTTTGCTGCTGTCACTTAACCCTGCTACATCTATCACTAGTGCCATTTTCCGTTCCTTATCTACTATCACAATGTTTGCTTGATTGGCCAGTACCTGCCTAATAGTACAAATGGAATTCCATCACATGCTAGACAAACTACAGTAACCCCAAAGAGTAGACAAATTAATTCAGTAAGCATTTGTAATCTGAACTTCCACAATAACTCTGATAAAAATCCTAAAGCAAAAGTCACCAATTAAAAGGAGACATCAAGTGCAGAAGTTATTCATAAAACTCATTATTTACCTGAGTGACCGGATGATGTTTCTCCACCACAACAGAATTCATGGGGGGCGAAACACCCACGACATCTAAGTTACTGCAAATACGATTCTTTGCTGCAAAATCTGAACGACCGGTGATTTTGGCAGTGACTGTCCTTCCAGCCTTTTGTTGACCTGATGTTACCACCCTAGTCATGGGCTATGGCAAACCAAATAAAAATCCTAATTATACAAGAAACACATAGCACTTCTCAGAGCAGTTTTAAATTATAAGCCAGATTTCTTAATATTATTTTTCCATATCTTTGGCTAGGAAAAACTGAATATGTAAGTTTTTGGTTCCTGGACCATTAAATCCTAACAGCATATTCTTACAACAATGGGGCACATTCTTTCTATAGTCTTGATAATTGGAAATACAGTCCTATTAGTAAATTATGGATTTGTATCATGACACAAGCATTTCTTCAGAAAAGGTGAATAGAAGGTTCCATCGTAGCCCACAAGCTTTACTTCTATATAAACAAAAAAAAACTAATTACTAGAGCTGCAGAAGTGTTGTTTTTGAAATTTTTTGAGCTAGAAAGGAAACCCTGGGGACAATAGTCTTATGAAAGCTTCTGGTGCTCCCTTCACCAAAAGTAAATATTTCAGAGACATTCACGCCTTCAGGGTCCTTTTCCTTATCATTCTTTGAAGCAGTTCATTGATCTAATTTCTTGTCTAGAATTTCACTTTTGAGAGATTCCAAATATTTCATAGAAAGGATTGCATTAAATCGTTTCATAATCATTGATTACCTGATAATACAAGGAAACTGTTGACGAGTCAACACCAGTGATTTAACAACAGGCATTTTTTTTTGTTTTCCCCTATTGCAAGAACTGACTGATGTAGGAAAATGGCCATATAGGTAATCCTTCACCTATGATCACTCATTCAGTGGCTGAAGTTAAGATGGTGCTGAGCAAATGGTGGTTAGTTCCAGCAATCCCAGCACCCCTCCATGATCATGTGACCATAATTTGGAGCTTAGCAACTGATTTGGACTTATAGCCAGTTGCAGTGCATTGCAATCACGTAATCACTATTTGCAACCTTCTCTTCCGGCTTCTCAGAAAATCAATAGGCAAAGCTGGCAGGGAAAGTCACATGTCCCTGGAGTAAGTCTCCTCCACATGTACATCCTCTTCTTCTCTTCTCTGCATTCATGCTGCACTGGCCATTCACCACCACCTGACACCCACTCCTTGGCTTGTGCTGCACTCTCCCCAAACCATGCCACACCTGTGTGTAACCTTGATTTGTACCACAATCCCATGCATCCTTCCCAACCCACACCACACCCTGGCACATTCTTCTCACACCTCATCTTTAACTTCTCCATCTGGCAGCAGCCATGAACCTGTCTGCTTGGGATTTGCAACTTCCTGCTGGCTTCCCCAATGACTTTGGTTGTGGAAAGCTGACAGGAATTTGCCTTGCCTAACAACCATGGCATTCAGTTAGCAACAGCAACCAGGACTGCAAAGATTGCCATAGCTTAGAGATGCAGTTACACATTATGAGTGCATTGCTTAGCAATGGAAATTCCAGTCTCAATTGCTGTCATATGCCGAAGACCACATGAATGGTCACTTAGTATTTTCACACACTTGAATCTATCCTCAACTTTGATTGAAAAATGGCATAAAAATGAAGTATGACATTTTAATTAAACTTGTAGCTTCCAGATACATCCATCCATCCATCCATCCATCTATCTATATTTTGAAGTTCCAGTTCCAATGAGCACTATATAAAAATTTCCCATTAATCATGTGGAGAACAAAAATAGTTTAAAAAAATTAAAGTAATGTTGGTGGTGGTTGTTGTTTTTTACCAGTTTTGAAATGCACATTGTGCCTGATCCTGATCCTGTAGCAGCACCGCAGGTTAATGCAGCAGCAGAGTCTAATCTGGTTTGAGATGTTATTGCATGGCCTTGATGAGAAGAAAACTGCAAAACAGCAGGAAAAAATGGCAATAGTCTGATTTAGATTTAATACATACCACCCATTTCCTAATTCAAAATATTAATATCAGCATATTGCCTTGATTTTCATGCCCAATAGCTCTGTAATGCTGATTTAATAACTTATCCTCATTTATTAAACTTTCCTAAGATTAATTCAATGGAATTGAAATCCGCTACTGACCAAGGTTGTATTACAATGAACACCTACCAGATCCTCTGCAGGAGCACAGCCAGCTGTTGTTGGAGCAAAATGAGGTGGTGGTTGCGGCAGTGAGGAAGTAGATGGCATAGGTTGATCATACTGAAATGAAGAAAATTTTGCTGTAGGTCCACCAGTGCCAGCACCAGATTCTGCTCTTTTTTCTGATAGATCAACTACTATAAACAAATTAACAAACATTCAGAACAAAATCACAAAGAGATAAATATTGCTAATAGTTAGACAGTATATATCTAATTTTGTTATGTAACTATGTATCTGTATAATTTACAAACAAAACTGGAAAGTGCAGAGTTGTATACAATTTTTAAAAGCTGTATAATTTGTATTTCCCAATGTAGAGACTTACAGAGACTCAGCCCTATTTGTTGCCATCTTAATTTAAAAATAGCCCTACAGTATTTATTTAATATGATATGGTGGCTGTCTTAAAATTATCTATTACCTTTGTACATGATAGTTTATTCAGATAAGTTCTAAGTTTTAATAGCTAATCTTACTAGGTCTTTTCCAAGAAGGACCATAATCTAAATTCAATATAGGGGAAGAGTTACCCTGTGGTAAGATGATAAGATTGAGTGACTGTAAATTTTAAAATAAATCAATAAATAGACAGAATATATATAGATTTTGCTCTCTGATCCAGTACAGTTGGAAGCTAATCAAATCCAAATAGTTTTTAAATGTATATTTAAATTGAAAAAGTCATTTTCCTACCATATTCAGAGGTTTGGGCACAAATTATAAAGACATTTTAATTTTTTCTACAGGCTGCATATTAGAGAAAACAAAACAGTATCTGTATGCATTTATGTATTTGTGTTGTATTTTACCTCCTTTTTATTGTTATGTTTTTAATTTTGTCATTTTGATACAGAATTTGTTCTTCACACACACAAATATACACAGTTTTGAGGGGCAGCTGTTGGGCAGGAGGGAACTGATCTGGCCTAAAGGCAGGGACATACACATAATGAGTGGCCAGGGTTAAAAATGCTATGGTTTTGTTTCATGGAGAAGATTTAAGATTCAATACAACTTCTTTCCAGTTGAGATATATTTGAGATTAAAAAGAAAAGGAAGCATTGCTCAATATTTATTGAAAGATCAAGGAATGGCTATTCCTGAGAATGCAAAACTTTTATGTAGGAAGGAATGTAAGGACATAAATCACATACGTTTTATAAAGGTGCCATTCAACATATTGCAGTATATATAGTCCTTGACTTATGATCACAACTGAGACCAAAATTTATGTTAACTGAGACATTTGTTAAGTGACTTTTGCCCCATTTTACAATCTTTCTTGCCACAGTTGTTAATAATAAGGTTGTTAAGTGAATCTGGCTTCCCCATTGATTTTACTTGTCAAAAGGTTGCAAAAGTTGATCACACTTATGACACTGCAACTGTCATAAGTACAAACCAGTTGCCAAGCATCTGAATTTTGATTACATGGCCATGGGATGCTGCAGTGGTCAAAAGTGTGACAAACGGTCAAAAGCCACTTTTTTCAGTGCTGTTCTAACTTTGGTCACTAAATGGACAGTTGTAAATCAAGGACTATCTGTCCATCACTTGAGACTTTGAAGAAGAGATTGGACTGCCATTTGTCAGAAATGGGGTAGGGTCTCCTGCTTGGGCGGGGGAAGGGGGGTTGGATTAGATGACCTACAAGGTCCCTTCCAACTCTGTTTATCTAATAAGACACTTAACAGACTATCAGACCCAAATTCAAAAGATCATAGTGGTTTACAGCATTGCCAAATTAATATTAGCAAACAGTAACATTGCAAAATTACAATGTGTAATGTTGTAAGCCGCCCAGAGCTGTGTATGAGATGGGCAGCCATATAAATTTGTTCAATAAATAAAAAATAAATAAAACAGATTTAGGACAAACAACATAGTCTGGGCTTAATGGATCATGCAAATCAGCCAAGCTTCCAGAGGATTAGTTCCTCAAAAAGCTTTACTTTAACTCCATGCTCCAGCAATTAGAAATCTAGGGCTAAACTATACATAGTGATATGAGCATTTCAGTCCCATAGGATTCTTTGAAATTTATGGAGAAGAAGATAATCTTCTGTTCAAGTTCTGTCTACAAAGTGTCTTTTCCCCCCCAAGTAGGATGTTTGATGGTAACAAATGTCTCTTTTAAGGTATTTCTTATTCTTCTGGCATCAGCTACGGCATATGTATAAAGACACAGTAAAATATGGGGCTGCTATCATTAATAAGTAGCCCTGAGGCATGGACTTAATGAAAGCAGGTGTCTCCATGTTCACAAACATTTAAATAGTCCTCAGCTTGTGGCTGTTTAACAGTGGTTTGAAGTCATGATGGTCTCAGAAAAAGTAACTTATGACCTGTCCTCCAAATTGCAACACCATGACAATCTCGTGATGCTTGGCAAACAGCTTGTATTTATGATGTCTCAGGTGACTGTGAACTGACAAGCCAATCAATTAGGGCAACAACTGTGTGATCCACTTAATGATGTGATTCCGATCACATGATATTTGTATAACTATCACATTGCTTTGTGACAAAAATTCAGTCCCAGTTGAGATCTTTAATTGAAAACTACCTATATACACCTGTTGAATTCTTGCCACTGAATGTTATGAAGTATTGGAGTGCCATCCTGTGGTCAAACAATTTCAGGTTTTTTTTTTTTTTAAAAGCCTTCGCTTAGGAAGAGAAATAAAAAAGAAAAGCACTGATTCAAAATATGGGCTCCAATATAAGCTATTCTGAGCTTGATCCCACCCAGCCCCGAGACTCAGGAAGGGAAAGAACCGTCTCCAAATTCCCCATTTGCCCTTCTCTGCCTCTTTGGTCAACCTGCAGCTTCCAAACTATGTGGCTCTGGGGATCCTTGCCACACACTCCAGGAAGCTGCAGCTGCCTTTTAGCTCAGTTCCCCTGGCCGCCCCTCTACTCTTAAGACCCCTGCATTCCACCAGCCCAGCTGACCTTCACCATCTTCTTGCTCCTGCGGCTGACGAAACATGTTCGATCTGGGTGGTGGGCCAGGATGAAGCTGACTTCGCCCTGCAAAAAAAGGAAAAGCTAAAAGCATCCCGAGCCTCAGTGCTTTTTTTGCCACCCTACACTCAAAAGATCCCTGCAGCCCTGCGTTCCATCAACCCAGCTGACCTTCACTGTCTACTTGCTCCTGCTGCTGCTGCTGAACCATGCTTGATCTAACTGATGGGCCAGGCTGAACCGGATTTCTCCCTGCAAAAAAAAAAGAAACAAAGAAAGAAAAAAAAAAGCTAAAACCAGTGTAGGAGCTTCAGTGCACCAAAAGACTTTTTTGCCACCTTACACTCCAAGACCCCTGCAGCCTTGCGTCCCGTCAACCCAGCTGACCTTCAACGTTTACTTGCTCCTGCTGCTGCTGATGAAACACGCTCGGTCTGATTAACGGGCCAGGATGAAGCGGATTTCGCCCTGCAAAAAAAAAAAAGAAAAGCGAAAAGCAGCCTATGAGCCTCAGTGCACCAAATCAAGTTTTTTTTTTGCCACCTTACACTCCAAGACCCCTGCAGCCTTGCATCCCATCAACCCAGCTGACCTTCACCGTTTACTTGCTCATGCTGCTGCTGCTGAAACATGCTCAGCCTGTTTAATGGGCCAGGATGAAGCGGATTTCGCCCTGCAAAAAAAAAAGTGAAAAGCCGCCTATGAGCCTCAAGTGTACTAAATCACATTTTTGCCACCCTCCACTCCAAGCAGCCTTGCGTCCCATCAATCCAGCTGACCTTCCCCATCTACTTGCTCCTGTTGCTGACGAAATATGCTCGGTCTGTTTGATGGGCCAGGATTTTGCTGATTTCGCCCTGCAAAAAAGTAAAAGAAAAGCGAAAAGCAGCCTATGAGCCTCAGTGCACCAAATCATGGTTTTTTTTGCCACCTTGCACTCCAAGACCCCTGCAGCCTTGCATCCCCCATCAACCCAGCTGACCTTCACCGTCTACTTGCTCCTGCTGCTGCTGCTGAAACATGCTTGGTCTGTTTAATGGGCCAGGATGAAGCTGATTTCTCACTGCAAAAAGTAAAAGGAAAGCTAAAAGCAGCCTCGGAGCTCCAGTGCACCAAAGGACTTTTTTTTGCCACTCTTCACTCCAAGACCCCTGCAGCCCTGCGTTCCATCAACCGAGCTGACCTTCACCGTTAACTTGCTCCTGCTGCTGCTGCTGAAACATACTCGGTCTGCTTAATGGGCCAGGATGAAGTGGATTTCTCCCTGCAAAAAAGTGAAAGAAAAATGAAAAGCAGCCTATGAGTCTCGCTGTACCAAATCACTTTTTTGACACCCCTGCAGCCTTGTGTCCCATCAACCTAGCTTACCTTCACCATCGGCGTGCTCCTGCTGCTGACGAAACACGCTCGATCTGGTTGATGGGCCTGAATGAAGCTGATTTCTCCCTGCAAAAAAAGAAAAAGTTAAAAAAGCAGCGTGTGAGCCTCAGTGCACCAAAGTGCTTTTTTTGCCACCCTACGCTTGAAGACCCCTGTGGTTCCATCAGCTCAGCTGACCTTCCTCATCGACTTGTTCCTGCTGCTGACGAAACATGCTCGATCTGATTAATGAGCCCGGCTGAAGCTGACTTCGCACTGCCAAAAAATAAAAATTTAAAAGAATAGAAAGGCTAAAAACAGCCTGAGCCTCAGTGTGCCGAAGCACCTTTTTTTTGCCATCCTTTTTTTTGCCATTTCATTCCATCAGCCCAGCTGACCTTCACTGTTTACTTGCTCCTGCTGCTGACGAAATACGCTCGATCTAACTGATGGGCCGGGCTGAAGCTGACTTCGCACTGCAAAATAGAATAGAAAAGCTAAAAGCAGCCCCTGAGCCTCAGCGTACCAAATCACTCTTTTGCACCACGCTGGGCCTGACTGCTGGGCCAGGTGGGGACTGGTTTCACATTTCAAAATAGGAAAGAAACCCACAAAATTTTTAAAATCCATTTATTTCTAGCACAAAAGTGAAACTTAGAATATACCTTATATATGCCTATTTCTTTCAATGGCCTCTTAACCCCAAGGTAATACTGTTAATCCTCCAGAAAAGTACTGTACTTTTTATGGTTAGAAAATCTGAAAAATTTACATCAGTTCAGTCTTTTCAACTTGCTGAGGAATTCTAGGCACTGTTATCCTATCACATCTGAAGAGCAGCACATTAGGGAAATCAGCAGAGATTACTCGCTGACATAAGGCCAGCATGCTAACGATCTTTCACTCGTCTCATAATACTAACCCTGGTCAAGTTTGAAATCTTTGCTCTGAAACATGCTCATTGCCTCTAAATTCAGTGCGCAGACACCCCGCATGAAAGCCTTCTTCATAGCATCTTCATAATCTTGTCTTTGGTTCTGCAGTTCAATAATTTCAGATCTGGCCTCCTCAAGTGCACTATTTACCTGAACCAAGAAATAAAAAAAATTAATTAATGACAATCTCATAGCAGATTTGATAAAAACTTGAGGTGAGAGTAAACTGCAGTTAATTGGGGCTCCTTTAAATAAAAGAAAGAAGTAAAATGGAATCAGTACTGAGTTACAATATTTTTTTGTTTCTTGACTGCTGTAAGGGAAGGGTACAATATTCAATGTTTTTAAAAGAGAAAGAGACATTATGTATATTACAGTAATGGTGTGACTACAATGGTAAATGGGATGAGTTCAAGCAGAATGGCTCCTTCCCAAAACTGTATATCCTTTCCCACTTGGGAAAGAGACTCAGTCTTGCACTCAAAAGGAAGCCAGAAGTTTAGGTTGCTTACTGTTTCCTTGTCCTTTTGCTGTACTTTATGGAGCAGATAATCAAAATGTCACCTTTGCCTACAATAACCCTATTTAAATTTTCCTGGAAGTAAATCCTATAGGTCCTTTCTCCTAAAGTGAAATATTGTCAAAACCAATTTTTTTTTTGTAAATTTTATTTGAGTTTTCACAAAGAGAAAAAAAAATACAAATAAAACATCTTTTTTGAAAGCAGCATAATCCCGGGTTACATTTCTTCGTACAGACACAAATTCAGGTTCATGCTCATTTTTATATTCTATTCCATATCTTATTACTATTTTATATTTTCTGCATAGCTTCTCCCCTCTTTTAATTTTCTCAATTTTATTTTAATCATCTCAATTCAAATCATTGTATTTATATTGTTTGTCTGTCCTGTTTCAATTATCTATTATCTTTTCTCATTAAACAAAATTTCTCCTGTAGTTACTGATTGGAGTATGACGCCTTTATATCTTTTCCCTAAAGTTGTAACATTCAATATAATCTCGGATTCTGCTTGGTACAGTCTTAAAATACACACTGTATTCTTAAAAAAAGAAAAAAAATTATAAATGTATATAATTAAAACAACATTCCATTCAAATTCAATTCTATCATTAATATTAATATTCATTAAAGTCTTAACATTTTTAACATTACCTTTCAATTAAATATCATACTTCTATGGGAACAATTATAAGCTTTCCATAGTTAATTCCCCCCCTCTTCACTTATATTTTATAAAACATTAACTAATTAAAATGTTCCCGTTCCTTCCTAATTCAATTTTCTCATTTATTTTATTTCACTTATTTTATTCACAAACATTTCACTAAATTACACTAACTATTTTATCCCTCATTTTAATTATACGTTGTTTCCAATTTTCTAAAGTTATTTCTATTACTAATATAACAATACAATCTTATGTACCTTTACAGAATCCCTTTTTCAGTTAGATTTTCACCCATTATCTCTAAATAGGTCCTGTTTCTCTATATCTTGTTCCGGTCCTTTGTAACCTCTTTTCCTTCCCTTCTTCCCTCTCTTCTCTCTCCCCCTTTTACCCCCTTTTCTCTCTACCTCTATTTCTCTCTTCTGTATTCCCCTTTTCTGTTGCTTTCCAGTATTATACTTATTTTTCGAATTATTTTTCTTTTCTTTGGTTGCTTTTTTAAGTCTTAAATTCTCCATTCTCTTTCCCCCCTTTCCTTTTTCTTCCCCACATAGAATTACTTGTTCATTAAAGATGGCTTCTTCTTTGTCCCAGTCTTCTTGTTTTGAAGTCTTTTCTTGTTGTTTCTCATAGTTCCAAATCTCCATTTCTAAGAATTGAAAGACGAAGCCAAAAGAACCCTTCCCTTCTTGTGCATCTTCTTTGTACTTTTTAAGTCCCATTTTCAATTCATCCAGAAGTGGTGCCATTGTATAAATTTTTAAACAACCACCCAATTGATTTTAGTCATTCAAATATAATAACCAAAAATCCAAAGATCACCAAATAATCCAAATACACGCAAGCTGTTTCTTTTTTGCTCTTTTTTTTTCATTTTCTCTTCCTGGGGTTACTATTTAGTTGCAAAGTTTCCTGTTAAAATGTATCTTTTAGAAGTCTTGTTGAAGTTTTACTTTAGATTCTTTTTAATTCCAGGCAGTCTCCTCCCTCTTCCAGATCCTGCCCTTATTCTTTTTCTATCCCTTCCTGCTTATGAAAAAGAAAGTTTTTAATGTCCAGAAATCTTTATTATCCCTTTGGCATTTTGTTTTATTTTCAGCTTAATTGCCTATTGATGTCAAAGCGGATTTTTCCGATTTCTTATTTAAGTCTCTTAGTTGTCAGTATAGGGAAGGAGAGAGAAGGGGAAAAAAAGCCAAACCTTTCCCTTTTCACTTTCCTTCGCTGCTTCCAACTCTTCTTTGGGAGTGATGTTATTTTTTGTAAGTTTAAATTCCAGGGTACCTTGGTTGTTGCTTTTACAATTTAACCCAGTCAGCCAAAACTGTCACTTCTTATCTTCCTCCTGCACATTCTTTTCCGGTCGAGTTCTTCTTTGTGGTGGCCATTTTTGACCACCGCTGCAACCGCCTTTGGGAAAGGGAGTAATGGCCAGCTGAGGAGGAGAGATGCGGCTCTCCTCGATCCTGCTGGCGGTCTCCCCCCTCTTCACCACCTCTATGGGGTGGCTTAGCCCCCAAACCAGCCAGCTCGGGGCACTCCAGCGGCGAGCCCAGACAGAAACCGCGCACGATCGCGGATTTCTGTCTGTCGCCAAAGCCCTTCAAACCGGAAGTCGAGCAACTCAAAACCAATTTTTGTTTAATTTAGATAACGCCATCGAGTGCTATCATATCCAACTTCTTTCCTCAAAGCTAAACATTCTCAAATATTCCAAACTCCTTACCGTTTGAAGTTTGGCTTCATACTCATTGCTGAGTGCCGCATGCATAGATTCCACACTTGACTGAACCGCCTTTTCCATTCTTTCTTTCTCTTTTGCTTTAAAGCGGGATCGCCAAATCGCCCAGGCTTTCTTCAACAAGCCTAATTTATACAGCCGATCAGCCAGTTTGTTTGCGTACAACTGGAAAGGAATGTCAGCAAAGCAAAATAAAGTGTCACTACACTTTATTTAACTCTTCCCAAAACAGGACTCTACCTGTGCTATAGTTGTACCATACCAAAATTTGATGAAGAGTATAAAAAGTATTAAGTATATACTGCAGTATCTGTAAAACATTTTTATACTGTATAAACTATAATACAATTATAAACAAACCCTAACTTTCAGCATGAAATCAAACAAAAGCTTGAACTGACATTGACCATGTTAAAATTCAGATCTTATGCTTTGTTGGCATTATAAACCAGAAGGGATGAATAATGTTGTAACACTTTTTATATTCATGGGATGATTGTAACAATTCTAAACAGATATAACGTGATCCTAAAGTGCAAAACATCATTTTTAGACCGAATGCAAATGCAGTTTACTGTGACAGATTATTTATAGAAAAAAAAGATGAAGGATTCCATATAAAACTGTTGATTTTATCAGTTTTTTAAAAAATATAGTTTTTCAAATGGGATTTTTTTTAAAAAAGCTTGATTAACATGAGCAAATCCATATATACCTCTTCTCTGGCCTTTTGTTTGCCCAAAAAATGCTGAAGTCGCCATTTTGCAAATTTTTTCATTAACTCTATCCTGTCCTTTTGTTTCTCAATTGCATTTGTTAGATTTGCAATTACCTGAACAAAAAGAAATTAGAAAATGCATAAAGAACATTAACTATACAATTAATTCATTTGAACTTGGTCATTAAAATTAAGCACATAGTCCAGGGATAGAGAAATATTGCTCTCCAAACAATTATTTGCTGCAAAGGCAATTCTTAACAGTAACCAGTAAGGAAAATGAGGACCATGTAAAAATTCCTCCTGTAAATTAGAACTTGTTACCTCATCCTTTCTCCCTAAGGAAATCTCGTATGTATGTAGCAATTCCTTCAAGTTCTCCATCTGATTAGTCAATTGTCTCATATCAGCTGCATGCTTTTCTCTTTCTTGTCTCATCTCTAAGGTATGATGTTCAATAAAATGAAGTTTCCATTTCCTCAGCTCAGTCAAAACATTAGTCTTAAAAGAAGTGAAGGAGTTGTTTAGTAGAGAAATAAAGATCAGACTGAGTTTTTAAAGGCTGTCTGAGCTTTTAAAGACTAAGGACACAAATGTTTTTTTTAGTAAAACATAACACATATTCAATGCTGAACCTGAAATTTTGAGAAACTTTCCATGACAGATATTATCAATGCTATCTAAGGAATATGCAAAAAAAACCTGATATAGTTCTTTGCCTTCCTCTGGCAAGTAGTTTGTGAGGAAAGTATTCAAATAACATATTTAGGTCCTAAAACAAGATGAATGACAATTAAGTAGCAACATTCTTTAAAATAATATTTTCCATAATTGTCTGTGCTTAGTTAAAAAAAAGAATAGCCTGAAAAATTTGTTAGGTTAAATAAAATATTATTTTCTGAAAATAGAAAGTATTTGTTTTTAAGCAAGATGTAGTTAGGGTTTAGATGGGAATATTATACACAGCAATAAATTAATAAAGTATTTTGGGATTTTCTTCAAGGATGGAAATATCCACTTATAAAAGTTGAGATTATTTTTAAAAAATTCTAGTACAAAAAAATGTTATTTGAAAATTTGTCATATCCTATGTATATATTTATTAAAGTAGAAGGGAGATTTCAAATTCTCATTCAATGGCATTTTTCTAATATCTGCAAAATAAAGATATTAAAACCATTTTATCTCCTAGCCTTAGATCAACAATTTTGCACACAACTGCAATCGATGGAGAAACGGTATGTAGCTTCTCCCTCCTTGTTTTATATCTCATATAGCCTGAATTATTTTTTGCTATTTAAAAGAATCAGATTGTGATCCGTCATATGAGATCTCAGCAACATTTAAACCCATTTATACCTAGCTTTAAATTTAAACATAAATATATTAACTTTGATTTTTAAAGATATATTTATATTTATATATATATATATATATGGATCTTTGGTTATTCAGGTTTTCTCCCGTGTAGAATTGGAAGTATCTTGGCGACGTTTCGACGAAGTCTCATTCATCATCTTCAGGTTTGTGTCTTCGGCTTTGTGCTTCTCGGAGTAATGTGAGCTTGCAGCTGCTTTTTCCTTTTAACTGCTAGTGGGGGTGTGACTTGAATGGGTGGGGGTTTGGGTGTGTTCTGATTGGGTGGGAGTGTGTTCTCATTGGTTGGGGGTTTGGCTGTGTTCTGATTGGTTGGGGGGTTGGCTGTGTTCTGATTGGCTGGGGGTATGTTCTGTTCAGGTGGGGGCTTGGTTGTGCTCAGGTTAGTCTTAGTTGCCGGGGGATTTGAGCTGGTGAGCTGTGATCCTGTTGTTTGGCTTCGCGTTCGTGGTCGTGCCACATCTTCCTGGTGGGCATCCGTTCGCTTCATGTATGGGTCGGAGGGGTTTGAAGCGGGTAGTGATGTAGCTGTGGTACGGCTTCTGGTCCGTGGTCGTCTCATCATCTGTGTGGGTGTGAGTCTGCTTTCTACGTGGAAGTGTGGTGGTAGCATCTTGTGTGGCCCTTGTGGGTGTGAATCTGGTGTCATTCTTCATGTTAGGTACTCGTTTGTTAATGAGGGCGGGTTTCCAAATGGCTGGTAGGCGGGAGGTATCATCTCATTTATTCATGCTGTGTGGGCGTTTTTCTATCTCTATGGCTTCTCTGATTATTCTGTTGTTGAAGTGTTTAGTTTTGGCGATAGTTCTGGTATTTTTAAAGTCAATCTCATGTCCTGTTCGTCGAAACGGCGCCAAGATACTTCCAATTTTACGCGGGAGAAAACCCGAATAACCAAAGATCCACATACAAATACCCGCGAAAACCTCAGAAAATACACACACACACACACACACACACACACACACAATGGCATAGGAACATAGTCAAAGGAGACTTTTTTGAGGTTATAATATTCCAGAAAAAAGACTGAGGAAAATAAGATACAATGAACCAGGTTATCCACAGTAGAATTTAACATATAGTAAACAAATTACCTACTTTAAGGCTGCCACTCCATAGGTCAAGAATGCTCTCTATGTGGGTCACTCTATCATCTGAAAGGCTCATGTCAGTTACGTATGTCCCTTGAAGATCTCTTTGACAAGATGAGGACCCTGGTGAAGAAGTTTCTTCTGAACGGATTGGACAAAGTCCTTCCATAGCCATAGGAGCTGACTCCTTTACTGAAGCTGAAACTTTAAAAACAGAAAACCAACTATGTCTCTAATATTGTATTACTGTACTAGATTTGCTGGATTTACAGAATATAAATTGAAAACAAAAGTGTGTAGAAAAACCAATGCTTCTACAAAAGCCCAATGCTATCTTGTGGCTTCTTACCGACTTAAGCTACAACAAATTTGCTAATCTTTAATGGGCTAAAAATATTCTTTTTGCTATAGCAGACTTTAACATGAATGGTTCCAATTATTTTAAATAACAGTAACTCTTAAAAAAAAGTAATACATTTTAACCTCTGGCAGTTTCTGTAAAGAATATACATCTTTTTGTTTGATGTTCTCTCTTTAAATATATGATTTGTGTTGGGTTAGAGAAATGTATTTTAAATTCTGCCATAAAGGAGAGCAATAGTAATATGTGTATATTTATTTAATATCAATATCTAAGGGGTGCGTGTCAACCTATTCTCCAAAGCACCTGAGGACAAGAAGCAATGGATGGAAACTAATCAAGGAGAGAAAATACCTAGAATTAAGGAGGAATTTTCTGACAGTTAGAACAATTAATCAGTGGAACAACTTGCCTCCAGAAGTTGTGTGTGCTCCAACACTGGAGGTTAAGAGATTGGACAACCATTTATCTGAAATAATATAGGGTTTCCTGCCTGAACAGAAGGGTGGACTAGAAGATCTCCAAGGTCCCTCCCAACTCTTCCTATTATTTACATATGTGTTATGGAATAAAAAAGCTATATATGTAATAAGCTTCTTTAGTGCTATTTTTCCTTTCTTTTAAAAGGGGAAGGGTATTGAAGAATATTGTACTTATTTTTAAAAGCTTCATATTCATTAAAGAAGCTACTTTTGAATAAAGAGGTAACTTATAACTAGATAATAATTGTACACATTTATAAGTAAATACACTTGAAGACCATAGTGGACTTGATTTAAGTGAGATGGTATGGTATAAGAGACATACATTAATTCAGGTGTATATGGATACAAGCAGGTTATTAACTGTGAGGATTTATGTGTAAAAACTAAAAGAAATTACCATCAGATTAGGCTTATATATTAAATAACATAGGGGTGTCAAACTGGATTTCTTGGAGGGCTGGGTCAGCAATGTAGTTGTCCTCTGTGGCCTGGCCACGGGATGGTGGGGAGAAGATAGGACGGATGGTTTCCTGCAGCACTCTTCCGGCCAATACGGGGCATGGGTGGAAGGGCCGTTTTGGCCGGTAGAGTGTTGCAGGAGGCCATCCAGGCCAAAAACAGGATGTGTGGGGGGCAGCCCAGCCCATTTTCGCTAACAGCAGCACTGAGGCCGGTCCTTTGCTATTTCCAGGCTGGTCCCATGAGCTGGATCTAAGCACCTCGCAGGCTGGATTCGGCCCGCGGGCCTTGAGATTGACGCCCCTGAGCTAACATAACTATCCTCTAAGACTATCCTCTTTCTCATCCTAGTACCTGCTATCCTTGTTGTTCGACTAGATGGTGCAAGTTCTGGGTTTCTTCCATGGCATCTCCATTTCACTCCTGCACTTTCATGCCTGTAGTTACTCATTCCTGGACTCTTTCCTATTTCAGATAAAAAAGACTAGCTATATTTAGACAGGCAGAATCAAATACTCAGCTCTGCACTGTTCACACCATTGATCCAAAGCCTTTTTTTTTTATATTAATGCTAGCAATTAGTAATACCTAACTGAACTATGCCACCTATCAATAGACACAAACAAAGAGAAGAGAAGCTAGCTATAAAAGGAATTTGACTCTAGGAAACAGACCCACAGACTTTTATTACTTCCAGTCAGAGTGAAATACAGGTATGAATAGAAGCAAGAAGTAGCAAGACTGCAATCAGGTAGCAATACTTACATGAGGAAAGTGTATCTTATTTTATCTACTAAGTTTATATGAAATGGGGATACAAGATTATGTGAGACATTTCTCACATGATTACTCTGAATCAACTAGTCTTTCCTGATTGAAAAATATTTCTAATAGTCTCTAACAGTTTTTTTAAAAAACCATTTGAATAAGTGCCAGTTTATAGATAATAGCACCATCACAAGTTTGATAAAGTACTTCAGAAGAAGGTCAAGCTTTGGGGCAAATTCACTCAAACACAAGTGCCCCTTACTGAGAAGCAATACAAAACAGCCACACATGTGCCACTGCTGCACTGTAGCTACTGTAGCCTTACAAATTTTGAGATTTAGTTAACTATATTGATTAATACAGGGCAGAAATTAAACTTCAATGCTAAAACATCCAAATGCAAGATCGAACATCATGGCATACTTTATTCTGATTTTCCCCCATCAAAAAACAAAACTTCTTTTAAACATAATTATCCTTAAACCTAAATTCAAGGGGAGGTTTTTGATTAGAGCCACCTGTCAAAATGCACTGCATCTAATCCATAAACTGTTGTTTTATTCAATTTAGATTTTGGAAAGTATCAACTTCTCTACATGCTCAATCAACTAGAAGGTCTGCAATCCATGATTTACCTCATGAAATGAAAAGTACCAGAGAAAATCAGGCAGCAAAACATGATGGTATCCCAATTTTCCAAGCCATTTTTAAAGGTAAAAACACCCTGAGATGTAAGGGCTTCCTAAAATTGAAAATATAATCAGTTACAATGCAATCTACTCACCTACCTGGGATCTTTTCGAAACTATCATTTTCTACTTTCTTTCTTCTTTCAACCTATCTGCATTGCTCACTTTCTATTCTTAAAGCTTTTCATGGCTCTTCCTGCGCATACATTTGTGTGGGAGCACAAATGGCATTTTATATTATAAATGCCTGATAAGGGAATATGGCTTTCCTTCTTAGGAACCTAACCTATCACTGATGGATAACACTATGCCACCCAGAATCATTCACAAACATAAGAGACACCAAAATCAACAAGAGAGCATCCTGTATATCTGAATGTAACAACATACATTTGGTCAATGTATTTTATGGTAGGCTGTTTTGCATTCAAGCCTATCATTTCCAAAAACAAATAACCCCCCAAACACCTAGAATAAACACATGTAGCAAACCCGATGAATATAATGATTTTCTATAGTTGGTCCTCTCAAAATACCTATTTTATTACAAAGATTTTCTGCCTTCCATTCACCATAGGCTACACAGTTTCATCTACACTTAGAAGATTCAGTCTAAACTTCTCTGGACAAGTATTTAACCAACAAAGACTGTGCTAGACTCACCCAGAAGAATGGTAATTAGTCCTCAAAATCACCATTAAAGCAGAAAAGTATTGTTACCTCTGGTACTTGACAACTCTTCAGCTACCTCTCCAGATGATTTCAGAGGAGAGAAAATAGAGGAATGTTTGGCAGTATTTTGTCATAATAGGTTAGGACTTAAATATGAAGCTGATTAGTACACCTTTGCAAAATACTGTTTTTCTCATTAGTGTCAAGACATCTTGACACTGTTCTTAGAATACTCAAAATTCTAGAATCTTCCCTTTATTTGAATCTTAGGAGTTTCTGCAATATGCTATTAAGAAGCTGCATTTCAACAGCCATGCTAGTTCCTCATTCAGCACTCTATTCCTAAAGTTTTCATATATGCAGTCATGGGGAACATTATTATTAACTTGACATAACTTAAGAATCCTTTTCAAAACATGCAAAATTTTCTATTTTACTCATAATCATGTTAAACACCAAATAAATGTGAGATGTCTGCAGATTCAATATGTGAAGGGGAGAATAACTGGGAACAGTGAAAAATTTGGTACAATCTAGGAACTAGGTTTGTGTGGAAATCAAAATACCAAGCTAGATCTGGAAGAAGATAGGTTTCAATACCCCGTTCAGTCATGAAATTTACAGGGTGGCTTTGGGCCATCTGCCTTTTGTCATCCTAGACTCCACATGGTTTTTGCTTGGGTGGGGTAAATGGTATCAAAAATTAAATTTCTTGAACAGAAAATGAGTTAAAATATAATATACAATAATAAAAGCAACTACTTAGATATAAGAAGGACTAAGGAGGACTAAGAGTTTGAGCTGGCCAAAATTTGTGGCCGCTTTGTCCTTTCCCTTCCTCCTTAATACAATCCTTTTATATACAGTATATTTAGACATGAATTCCCTTGCTCAAAGAACATTTGCTTCCATTAGATATGTAAATGAATAAAGACCTTTGTCACTAATTTCATACTGTTTCTCTACAGTCAGTCATAATCAATTCTTTTTAGCTCCAGATTAGGGGACTTGTTTTGGGTGCAGGTTATGATTCCTTAATTATAAATGGACATCTGCAATCACCTTCCTACTATTTTACTAGTGGACAGAAACAATATTATTGCCAAGTCAAGACTTGTTTCCATAACAGATATATATAGCACTTAGAGTATAACAGCCAAAAAAGCTAACCTTCTGTGGGTAAAAGAGTTTCATAGTTCCAGAGAATTATGTTGGCACTAGTTGTGAGATGTCACAATCATTTTTAAATTGGGGATGTTTCACATTTTTTATGTTTTTATCTAGATTTTTGTCAACCACCTAGAGTGATTTAAGATGGGCAACTGTATAAATCTGCAAAATAAATAAATAACCATGCACATACATGTTTTTATAGAGAATAGGTTCCTTGGAGGAAGTGTTTTTCTTTAGGCATATTTTTTTATTACCTGTACAAACAAATAGGTTTTCTTTTTGTGAAAATCTAAATTGTGAACCAAGAGCAGAAATGGGTCAAACTGATGTTAAACATTATGTCCATTTGAAGTATACAACAGATGTTACACAACCATATATGTGGAACAAACATTTTATTAAGGCCTACTGCATCTTAGATTCTATGCCAGTATGGACACTGAAAACTATTCAAACTTTGCCTTTTCTTTGCAAATTTAATAAAAAAAAAAAAAAACTAGTGCTATTTTAAACAAAAGGTGCCTACAAACATTAGAACTATAATGATGTAAAGTATTTTGAATGTCATTAGATAAATTAAAGTAGTGTTTAACATTTGAGAAAAGTAGATATTCATAGAACTGATACTTTTAGAAATGCCTCAAAAATGATTTGCTGGCTAAAAAACATCGATTTATGCACGTTAGTAAATATCTGTCATGTAAATAAACTATCACATTCACATTGTGATTTAATATGAAAAATTATATATCTAGCTTAGCCAACAATACTTCATCTAGGACAGGGGTGTCAAACTCGTGGCCCGTGGGCTAGATGGGTCATGTGCTGGCCCCACCCGGCCCAATTTAACCAAGGGGGAAAAAGTCCCGATACATCATGTGACGCCACTGTCATGATGCGAGTTTGACCCCCATGATCTAGGATATTTGTAAAAAATACAGGACATACACAAGCTGTCAAACTATGCCACAAAACCTCTTTGATGTAAATTTTACTATAAATTAACAAAACATCTTAATTTCTTACTAAAGGAAAATTACAAATAATTGTATAGGATCATAGAAATTGTGAGTATCATAGAAGTTATGAGAAAACAACGTTGTAATTAAGTTATGGAAAGGACCTACCTATAGTTGGGTGATAAAATAAAAAATACCTCAGAATAAATACCAGGACTCATCAAATTCCAATTTTCTGGACTCACCAAATCCTGAAGACCTTCAGTCAATCATCACAGATGAGACTGAAGCAGATGAACCCAGGGCTTGATTTTGTTTAAGTTAACTTTCTATAATTTTTGCAGGTTTCACTAGTTCAGAGTAATGGCTAGGTCAAAAGCATACATATAACTCTCAAGCAATAAACTATATTGTATAATCCACATACCAAAATAAAAAAGGCCTTCAGCCTACTCAACTAGAAACCCTATTTTTGCCATGGATTCTCAAATTTCAGCATCTTGCACCTTTAATTCGTTTATAAAATAAGCCAGCCTGTATGCTTTGAAAAAAGCTCCGTTTCAAATATGTTACCTGCAGGTATCTGATGAACCTCCACGTGATCTGATTGTCGTAATCCACTTGGCTCAAATTTAGGGGTAACTACTGCATAACGAAGCAATTCTTCATATTCATCCTAGCACAAAAAGATAAATATTTGTTACTAAGTGAAATGTTTAACAACACAATTGCATAACTCATTACAAGCAGTTCTCAACTTGTTACAGTTCATTTAATGACCAAAGTTACATTGGCACTGTAAAAGTGACTGTTTTTCACACTTGTGACCATTGCAGTATCCCCACGGTTACATGATGAAAATTCAGATGCTTGGCAATTGGTTCGTATTTATGACGGTTGCAGAGTCCTGGGGTCATGTGATCAGCTTTTCTGACCTTCTGACAAGCGAAGTCAATGGGGAAGCTAGTTTCACTTAACAACCGTGTTACTAACTTAACAACTGCAGCAAGAAAGGTCGTAAAATGGGGCAAAACTCATTTAACAAATGTCTCACCTAATAATATAAATTTTGGACTCAATTGGGGTCATAAATCAAGGACTACCTGTATTAAGGATATGCAAAGGTTCAAAAATAGTTTGAAAGTGGTGTTTCAGAATATGAAGAAAATTTATGTAGCTCCTGTCTGTAATTATTTCTCTATGATCATGAACTCTACATAATCTCAAGAAACTAAGTAGCTACTTTAAAAAGCTGAAGGTAAGTGCAGTCTCTGGACTCCAAATAATGTTATTTAAGGAACAAATGAAAACATAGCACTACCTTACTACCAAGGCAAGGAACACTCTTGAAATAATTTGTTTCAGAAATAAATTTTATTAAAGGTGACAATATCAGAGTGATTATGTTCATGCTTGGAAGCTCAACAAAGTTATTCTTGGGGGTATTTGGGAGAACACAGGGAGTATTGGGGCCTTACACGGAAGCCTGAAAATTGACGACTTTTATGAATAGCAGAGATGTGCTAAACTAAATTCGCTAAAGGATTCACTAAAGATTCGCTAAAGGACTTCTTCCTAATTATTCTCAAAATGCATAGAGCCCTATTTGTATTGCACAAATCACAATTCTTTAAACTCTGTTCAGGTGTTCAGAAAAAATAATAATAGTAGCATGAGTTGCTATACTCATGCATTGAGTCTATGAAAATTCACCATGGCCAATTTACTATGGGCCAACTTGCCACAGCCATCTTGCTGCAGGACAACTCACTGCGGGACAAGAGTTGCACTCTTATCAAAGAAATGGTGGAACAGAACCATTAAGAAAAGGATGCAAAAAGAGGGGTAGAATGAAATGTGAATTGCAAAAACTAGAATATTTTTCATTTATTTTAAATAATTAAATAGAACTGTTAAATTGTCCCACAGCGAATTGGTCGTGGTGAGTTGGCCATGGCAAGTTGGCTGTGGCAAATAGTCTCATTCTATCATGCATGCTCTGAACATTTTTTGAACTGAATCCAAAACATTGCATTTCATCTATATTCAGATAGTCCTCGACTTATGAAAGGCTGACATCATTGTTGAAACCAAGTGCAACTTTATCTTCATGAAGTTACTTCAGAATGTGTAATTGCCTAGAGTGAATTATATCAACCTATTACCAAACTGCATTGTCCTTAAGAGATACTATACCAACACATCACAATAAAATTTAGATTACATATAGTTAAATTATAACACACACACACACACACACACAGAGTACAGTTTAAGTAAATCCAGAAAATCACAGAAATGTTGGCAGAGAATTGAAAAAATAGATATCTCAAAATGCTGCTTCAAAATAAGTTATTCTATGCCATAATGTGATTTTTTTATTCTAGGTTTAACCTTGTACAACATACCATTATCTGTACTTTATCCTTTAGGTTGAATTCAGCTTTGGACTACAATTCTAGTCAATATTTATGTAGTTTCATTTAGCTTCTTTTAAGCTTAGGGAACACTTAAGCAGATTCCCCAGCATGAAAACTACATGAATGTTTCATTGTTATTTTCCATGCTAAAGTATGTATTAATGGCAAAATAAGATATATTTTCATCCCTTTCATCTTTTTGTTAACATAAAAACAGGTGTTGACATAGATTCCAGCACCATGATGGGTATATAGGAAAATATACCTTACAGAAACACATACTCATAGTCAGGATATAATAGTATATGCACATACACAAATATGTAATAAGATAGGTCAGTCCTATGTGCTTTGCTTCCATCTAAGAACTGGACATGAACTGAAGGAAAAATACACAAGCTACATTGTCCTATATTATTTCAGCATTATTGCTGTTGAAATAGAAAGAGGCAGGAATGTTAGCAAGTCAACAATAAGCAGAACTAGCCTCAAAAAAAAAAAAAAAAGCCACATGAAAAGCTTCCAAGGCAACAGTTGTTGACCAACTAGGCATTGCTAAGCCTTGCCTGAAATTTAGCTTCAGTTGTTATTCTTGGCTGAAAATCTAGAAGCAAACAAAATGAAAAGGCAAACCCTAAATGTTCGTTTTAATTTTCATCTGGCTTGTATCCACACCTAGTAGGAGCTATGATAGTAGCAGTACAGAGAAAAATAAGTGGACTGCAAGCTAGGTTTCCCAGTTGGTGATAATTCATCCTAACAACAACCCTGCGTGAAGATTGATTGTGAGGCAGCAGGTAGGCAGCAGAGACCATCCAGCAACTAAAGGGTAATTGTCTAAGATCAGCTATTAGAGGAAAAAAACACACCTTATTCTGCAGAGAAAGGATACACCTTTTTCAAAACTCTTTTCTCACAGTATTCATTGTGTTCATTCACTGCACTAAGAGTATGGGTTTTTAAACCATGATTTATAATTAGCATGTTAAGTAATGCAACTGTGAATTCAAAATCTATAATCTATTAAGAATTTGTTTATTTAATAGCTTAATTTTTATATTATGTTTCTTCTATACTGTTGCATTTCCAAGTTAATTGGATTTATAAAAAAGTCATTCCGATATAAAAATAGCAGGTTCTAATAAAATATTTTTTAATATTGACATTCACAACATATTGTACAAGCTCCAAATAAATAAGAAAAAAATCATTCATTTTGGGCCTACCTGAAGATCAGAAGAGACAGAACTGCCTCGATCAGAATCTTTTGGTAGAACAGGACTTGCACTTTTCTCTTCAGATGATGACATCTTGCATTAAAGTACTTCCTGTAAAAAGTTCCAGAAGTTGAACTTTACTTGCAATCATTAACTGGGATGTTTGGCTTGTTTTCCAAATCAAGACAAGAAAAATGGAAATCAACTGTTTTCTGAATCTGATTTGGTAGTGATGAATAAGCCCTTGTTCTTAATTTATACATTAAGATTGACTCAGCCTTCCATCCTTCTGAGGTGGGTAAAATGAGGACCCAAATTGTTGGGGGCAGTATGCTGACTCTGTAAACTGCTTAGAGAGGTCTGTAAAGCACTGTAAAGCAGTATATAAGTCTAAGTTTTATTGCTATTGCTACATCAGAGTAACCAAACTCCAGAAAAAATGTTCTATGGTATGTTTAGCCACTAAGCCAAAAACCTGCTGGTACTACGAAAACTGAACTTAAGGACCACCATCAGTGAGCTGTTGGACAGTATTACTTGGTCTGTTGTGTGGATGCTTGTGTGTTTTTAGGAGGTGGGGAATTTAGGAGGTGGGTGGGGAAGTGTTTGGGGATTGTCGTGTGTGTGTATATCTGATCTCTGGGTGTTATGTGAATTTCATTGTATGTATACTATGTATATACATACAATGACAATAAAGAATTCAATTCAATTCAATTGCTAATTATCTGTAAGCTAGAAATCTTGAGAATTCTATTTAGTTGTACTTTCTAGCTCTATCACTGCAAAGAGCGTCTTCTAAACCCCAGGAGAAAAATCTGCAGACTTTGACTAACTCATTTGACAAGATCAGTGAGTTAGTCATTTGACAAATGACTAACTCACTGATCTTAAGGAAGCCCTACTCAATGCAAGAATAATTAGAAGCCTACAGCCTCCACAGCTTCTCTCCCTCTCTCTTTCTCTCTTTTAAACTTTAGCCTAATCATCTATATATTGTTTAAAATGGATATAAAACAAGTACAGAAATGAGAAAGGGCATCATACAAAACATTTTGTCTAGCACCTTGAAAAAAATATCAAATCCAGAATGTTTACATTAATAACAACTTTGTAAGTAAGCTTTTAGCATTTTTTTTTCCAGGCTTCAGATGAGTAACCAAAATGGAAAGGTAGCCACTCGATTAAGTTAACAATTTTTAAAATATTTTTATATTAGGATGGGCCTTTTTCCTTATGACTTTTGAGATGCAGTATTTCTTTATAGCATTCATTTTACTTACCTGAACTATAAATATATTAATAAATGCTGATGCTTATCTGAAATAAAATTTGAATCCGACTTATTTGACAACCATTTTTACTAGGTTAAATGAATGTCCTTAACACTTCTGTCAAAGAAGGGCAGTTGAGAAAAGGGAAAATTGTGTTTGAGTAAGATAGGTCACTTTGGGAACTGTCTCAACAGGTGAAACAAAGTCATGGTTCTACAAAGGCATTCTGCACATGAATCAATACATTATCAAACAGCATATTTTTTCTGAGGATTTGAAATCCCCAAGCAATCAATACAGCCATATATGCCTGACTATATTCTTGTGACAAACTTGCACTATACAATATTTTCTTGCTGTGATCTGAGAATTTAAATTTAAATGAAGTGGATTTCTAGTCTTACTCACATATCCAGAGACAGAGAATGATATGCTTATGAATAGCTGGACTACAGTTCCCATCATTTGTTTTTGGCTGTGCCAGTTGGTACTATAGGTAGTCCTCAACTTATGACCACAATTGAGCCCAAACTTTCCATTGGCAAGACAGTTGCTGAATTTTGCCCCATTTTACATTTCTTGCCACAGCTGTTCAATGACTCACTGCAGTTGTTAAGATAGTAGCATGGCTGTCAAATGAATCTGATTTCCTCATCGACTTTGCTTGTCAGAAGGGTGCAAAAGATAGTCACAGGACTCTGCAACTGTCATAAATATGAACCCACCCTAAAGCATCTGAATGTAAATCACACGACACTGGAACTGTCATAGGGACAAGCAAGTTGCTACAATGATAATTAAATGTGAAAACTGGCCATAAGACATTTTTTTCAGTGCCGTTGTAATGTCAAACCGTCAGTCACTAAACGAACGGGTGTTAAGTTGAGGACTACCTGTAATAGGAGCTGGTTGGTGCTCAGGGTCTGGAAAACCGTGGCTTTGTTATACTTGCTCTTATATGTAGCTTACATCTAGAAAGAAAAGGTTGACCTGATCAGGAAATCATCCTTCCCAGCCTGATGCCTCCCACCCGTAATTGTAGCTGTGGGTCAGCACATCTACAACGGCGCCCTTTCGTTCGACGCAATCTGAACAATTCCACGAGCGAACTGCGCCTGCGAGGAAGTGCAAGAAGAAACTGAAAAAAGATTCCAGGTTTAGGGAAGAAACATGCTAAATGCAGGAAAGTCTAGAATGAGAAAGGGGTCCCTTGTCGTACCTTCCGCACCCCAGTTAAGTTTTCTCTCCTGCACTTCATTCGGGCTTCCCACTTCCCTAAGGTGGCAACCAGACGCCTCCTGCTCACCGCTCTTCTTTTCCCCAGCAAAAGCCTGGCAGTTTCAAACTGACTTTACCGAAAGAGAGAACTACCGTGATTGGTCCCAGTCCTTTTGTTAAAGGCTCACTGACAGGACAAAGCCTTTCCAGCCGCTCGCTTACCAATCAACAAGCCGGCAAGAAACTCGAGGGCAGGGCTTCGCCGGTGACGGCAGCCAATGAAAAACCACGGAACGCCCCAACTGCAGACTGGGATTTTTCAGGAGTCCCGGACAAAGATGAAGCCGTAATAGAATTTGCCCTAGCGCCGTGCTGATTGGTCCGTTGATTGGAAGCCCGGGCTCAAGAGGCGGGTAGCGAGGAGACAGTTTAATGGATGTCACGTGATAACGGCAGGGACGAGATCTACGGGGACTCAGGCGACTTGTTTCAGTCATTTGGGACTGTTAAAATTATTATGGAGGAGCTGAGATATAATAATGATTGATGACGCTAATAATAATTAATAATAACGGCTGTTTTATTAGAGCAAACTTTCGTGCCGTCCTCTTTCCTGAAAGAAAAAAACCCCACTAGGCTCCTCCAGAAACAACGTGGCGTCAAAAAGCTGAGAAACTCTATTTTCTTTACTCTCAGTTTATTATCAGCAAAGCAAGTCCAGACTCTTTCGTTTGGGTGTATGTGTGGATATGTGAAAACCAGAATGGCATTTTGGCAGAGAACAGATTATACTCACTTTTGTAATCAGCCATTAATAACAATGGCTTTGGTTAGCATATGATATCATCCAAATTAGAAACTAACAATAAACCAGTTTACTTATTTAAAAAACATAGGTCACTGTAATTGATGATGCTAAACAATGCATATAAATATGTCAAATAGAAGAAATATTACTTAAAAATAAAAGGGAATTTGTTTTCTTTCTAACTGCCAGACAACTCCTGAATAAACTGAACAACTTGTATGATTGTTGCATTTTTCTTTTTTGCCAGGAATTTACATCACTTCTACAGCAGGTGGCAACACATCATAATGTAAGGCACCAACAAATTGACAGGTGATCACTTGGAAGAAATAAAGTGATTGGAATGCATAACAGACTGAGGAAAAGCAAATGTAAACTGAGGGTTACTAAAGCAGTGATGATAAAGATTTTGTATCACTACCAAATAGGTTTTGTTCTTGTAATAAATGCAAGTGTGAGGTTCCAGAAGATATAAAGAACAGGAACAAATGAATAGCAATAAAAGGTACACAGCTGTATTTAATGCCAGTGAGACTACAGTCAATTAAAATCTATAAAATTGAGAAGTAAATACATCATAGTATATATTTTCTCTTCATTCCTCTAATATGGATATATTGTGTGCTGTCCAGTCAGTGTATGGGAATTGGATAGTTAGGTAACAATTGTGAGCTATCCCCTTAGGGGAATGCATCATGATAAGTGTAGTTAAGATATCCTGGGAAATGTAGTCCATATCACGTGACCACATCTGTAATCCTCATTGGTCACTAAATTGACCCTCGATGGGTTGGGGGAAGTTTCCTCACTCTTGGCTGAACTCACGGACTCGTAACTGTTCTACTTTTATCGCCACGAGATGAGAGAAAAAGGATAGCAGATAATCATCTTTTTACCTACAACACAGATATGCAAAGGATTGGTCATTAAAGAAGAACTTCATCACAAATGTGAGTTATGAGGATACCTGATGAACCAATAGAAGTACTTTGTTATGGATGTTTTGTGGAGTTTATCTATCTGCATCTGTACAGAAAACAAATCTACCACTGTACAGAATACAGAACATATTGTATTTGTAATGCTTAAATCTACTGTACAAAAATGTTACTTGTTCCTAATGAATAGGAATTAATGCATTGATATACTTGTAATAGAAAAAGGCCCACTAACAAAATAGGTTTTCTCAAATGCCTATCAAATCATCAGGGAGTTACGGTAAGGTTATAGGCTGCAAACCAGGAAAACAGAAAATGTAGATCTGGATTTTTCTGCCTTGTACTATCGTTGGTTCTTCTGCAGTATCTTGTGATCATTTGATTGCAATTTGTGACCTTTCCTACTAATTTCTCACAAGCAAAGTCAATGGGGAAGATGGCAGGAAGTTGCAGTTGCTCACATTCCCACTGTTTCTCCTGAGAACCCCATCTCCACAGGTGAGCAGGCATATGCCCAGCCCCACTTGCATTGGACTGTAGTGCTCACCTACAGTTCCCACCCTTGTGCCTGCCTACACTCTAGCGCTCACTTGCCCACCGCTGGCCTGCTTGTGAACCACCAAAGGCTTGTGACCAGGACTTGCAACTTCCTGTTGGTTTCCCAATTGATTTTGCTTGTTGGGACCTGGCAGGAAATTGCAAGTTGTGATCAAGTAAGTGTTCTCTTAATGACCCAAAATCCTCACTTAATTAGGGCAACAGATTGTGAGGACTACCAGTATATTTAGCACAGTAGCAAGTGCTATTGATTGTGCCAAATTTCTTTCCCAAATAAGTATGTATCTGAGAGAAGCAAACTTAAGAAATCACTATAGCAAAACAAACTGCTCTGCACTTTTTTGTTCTCCATATAGAACACTAAAATTGCAGTAAAACAACATATATGTATTGTGAACTTCCACGTTAAAACAAGCAGCTGGTTGGGATGTTCTTATAGTGTAGCTTTGTCCAGTCTTGTTCCATGAGAGAGAGGAGCTTCCATTATTTCCAGCAAGCATGACCAATATTTTTGGAGGACACCACCATTGCATCATTTCAGAAATACCCCCTGCTGTGCTTTGCAACCAAACTTATTTAGTTCAGCATACCTAATAGAGCAGAAAAAAACGATTTCTCCATTTGGAACATTGAAGCTCTGCAGACTTGTGGATGGCCCATTTCCCACTTGATGGGGATTTGCCTGCCTCTGCCTCCTGCCTCTTGGGTTCAGGCAGTTCTCTTACTTTCTTTTCAAAAGATTCAGCAGCAGTGGCATCTCATTGCAGTGCCATAATTGCAATAGAGAGAAAGTGCCTTAGTGGGTTTGTAACTCATAGCTACTATTAGGGATAGGGCTTTATATAAATAGGCCATCTAAATATTCATAGCCAGAAAATAATGGTATCACAACATTCTGATTGTTCTTAATTGACAATGTTTTTGTTGGTTTTTTGGGTGTGTGTTCACTGCCCAGAGCTACACTGTGAGATTAATGGCTATATAAATAGAATAAATACCTTCCCTGTACAGTATTAAGCTGGAGACACTTAATTAGGTATTTTTTTATTTTAAGTTCAGCTTAAAAAACCTGGAACTAGTGCCTAGATTCACACAACTTGCTGAATCAAAAACCTAGTTTATCAAAACCTGGCTGATGCAGTTTTCATAGAACATGCAATGCTCAAAACAATCCATTTTTAAATGTGATGGCTTGATTCTAGCAATACAGTGATACAATGGCTGGATTCCCACAATACACTGAGTAGCACCCCAATGCCATTGTACCCTAGCATAGTTTGTTGTGCAAATCTAGACTTGCAGCGTTGCGGATGAAAGGAGCAGTAGACTGTAGCTTACATACTAATTGTAAATGTGGCAAATGGGAACAAAAATGTTCCCTTTGTCCCCTCCTGATTTTCCCTTGCTTCTCCAGAATCATTTATTCCAAAAATTTGATTTTGCTGCTATCATTTACTCTCTCAAATTACAATGCAGATAATGTAATAACTACAGATTATGACTTACTTAGGCTTCACTGTTGTTAATTAGCAGCTTTTTCTGGGCATGGTCATTGATGTATATACACTAATTCTATTACAGATGCATAATGTACTTTACAATTGGACTGGCAAGTAATGATGATTAGGCAGTGCGGCATTCTGGCTGTAGCTTGTAGGCTGCCATCCTTTCTCTCTGAGACTGCAGTTCTCTTTCTCCGGTCTGATTCATTCTGAGTCATACACAACATCTTGTTGAAATGGAGCGTTCATCAAAGGGGACTGTCGTGCCTGTTCTGCACCATTAGGTAATTGTATTTCTTCAAGAAACGTCTTTTGAGCTAGAATGGGGGAAGAAGTCTAAAGAAGAGTAGCCATTAGTAAGGGAGACTGCAGGCTCAAGTAAAAAAGAAAATAGACCCCCTGGAACAGAGAAAACCTCAACGTGACTAGGAATATGACAAATGCAATCATTTGGGTTGTCATGTTTTATTAGTGCAAAAAAATCTGAGAAATCTCAGTCTTGTACGGGAAGAGAAGGGAAGGAAGGACTTCAAAAAAAGCCATTTGATAAATAGCAACTCAATTTTTCAAGTGCTGGTTGTATTATGCCTAAACAATACCATTCATGTCTGGGACCAACGTATTTGCAAGCTTGAAAGAACTGCAAGAAATCTAGAAAGGCATAAATAGAAAAAGAAAGACCTATGTTCTGCCATGGCTAGATTTACACAACACACAAAACCTGAATTAATAAAACAAAAGCTCCATTCACATAAAGTGCTATGCCCAAATACATATGGCTCATTGTGATGCCCGATTCACACAACATGAATAACTGCAAACAACAAATCCATTTTAGCCTAGTTCAATTTAGTGTAGTCTTTAGTCTATCATTCCCTGCAAATTCCAAGAGAATTGTTTAGTGCAGTGGTCGCCAACCAGTGGGCCGGGGACCACTGGTGGTCCATGAGAAATTTTTGGTGGTCCGCAGAGAAATGTCACCCCCCGTAGCACACCTCCCGCAATTAATCCAGGCTGCACAGGAACACAAAGCTGCATCGCCACATGGCCTGTGGGAACACAAGGCTTGTGTCACTTGCATTGTGAACAAGAGGTAGTGGGAGGGGGGAAGGGCGGGGGGGAACTTGCCCCACTCACCTCGTGTGGTCATGAGGCTGCTTCTGTCTGCTTTTTTCTTCTGCTTGTGGCTGCACACAAGGAAAGCAGCTAAAGTCTTTCTTTCTCTCCCCCAAACTCTGCCAGAAATGAGTCTTTGAGATCCTGCAAGGCATCCTGCTCCAAGAGGCTG